AATTATGAGAAAAAATTATCTGAAAATATGCCTTGCATAAAAAGTAATCAACTTATCGCCCATATTAATATATATATATATATCATAAAGAAGAAAAAAAAATATATAATAACTATACATAATAAATATAAATAATTTAAATGATAATAAGAATAATAGCAAATGATGAAGCGAAGAAAAAGACCTATGAACATCCGGGTTGACTTCACGCTGAGCTTGAAGCTTGCATTTAATTAATTCGGTGGGACATAACACAAATGCAGCAAAAACTGAAGCTAATGAGCCAGCCAATGCGTTTTCAACTGGTGACATTTCATTCACACTCCTCTGCTTAGCTAAGAAAGACACTACCTTAAATTTCTATTGTAACGAACTTTACGCCAACAATGTATAATGAATATCACAAAAAAAAATATATATATATTTTAAATATATATAAATATATATATATAAATAATATAAATATATATATATACAACAAGAAAACTTTTTTCTCATCCCCTGTGAGTGATCATGATTATACTTGGGTCCTCTGCCACAGACCTAGGAGATTGAGGACTCTGCGCAGTATCTGTTTCTAATAGTGTGCTCTTCTGGATAGAGTTCTGTTGTTCCTGGAATCTACTGAAGCCACTTTTCTAGTTTAGGGATTATAATTCCAAGTGCTTAAATTTGGAATTCTCTAGTTCTTCTTCCAGCCCTTGGTATTTCTCTAATTTCTCATATTTAAATATAATTACTGTCATTTGGTGCTGCTATATCCATCACCAGTGCTGATTTCTGTCTATTACCACGATATCTAACTGATTGGTTAGAACTTATTGTCTTTTTGGATGAGAATTCCCACAGGATCTTCGCTTTATTATTCTCTATGACTTTCTGAGGAATCTTCTTGGGAGAATCCAAGCCATATGACGAGTAGATGATGCGAGCTACTTGGTTGTGCCTTTCAATGCAGCTGCATCTAGAGTTCTATCTAGTGTAATAGATCCTTGTTTCGATAGGTCTGATGCTTAATGCTTGCTGCTATAATCAATGGCTCAATATTGCCTGGCTTTCTCCAATATTAGGATTTCACAATATTAGCTATCTGTCGATGGGTACAATCCATAGAGGGCCTTTCTTTGCCATGATATCGTTTTCCAATGTTTGTAAATGTGTTTTCAAATGCTTTAGGCATTTGCTTCAGCAGATCATCCTTTGGTGCCATCTTGCTGATATATTTCTGAATGCTTCGAGTTTCGTTCAGGATATTGGTTGGTTTTCACAAAGCACTCACCAAGCGCCACCCACCTTCTTTCCGGCTGGTGTATATCCCTTGGATATTGGACTTGAGGGAGAAGAAAAATTTCCATGCATTGTGAGGAGTTCCCTAGCCTTTATGAGCTTTTCTGTTGGACACGGGAAGCCAACAATCATATATCTCAGAAACATTGAGGGAAAACTTGCGGCTTATAACAAGAGAATAGTAGACAATCACTGTATCAAGCTTCGCATCAAAAATTCCCCAGAAGCACCATACCTTAATAGGAGAAGTAGGGAAAATACTTCGTGATGGCTCTGTATCCAAGATAATGGCAGCAAATACGATAATTGACAACTGACATCGCAAATAAAATACAATTGAAAGGATCTTAATCTTCAGGAAAAGAAGGTGTAATAAAAATGGTGAAATCCGATATATTGATAGGCCCAGATTATTACTTCTCTCTTATGAAATCAAATGCAAAGGACGATAGATTACACTCTGGAGGTCATGTAATTCACATTTATAACCGGAAGTTACAAGCACAACAAGGAACATGTCGTAGCTTAGCAACCTTCATGGCGCTAAACAAGATTTGTCGCAGTTCCGGTCTCTAGAAACTATTGGAATCGGACACCTAATTGACTTGATTGACAATCGTTTAGAAGAGATCAAAAGACACCAACATGTGTCAATCCGTTGTTTCCTCAAAAGAAGCTCCCACAGATGACGCTTCAAGGAGAATATCTACGAGGGAATTAAAACTTTCTCCGTTGTGGTGGCAGGGTCTTGACTGGCTGAGTCAGGAAAAATAGCCAAAGAAGCCTCACAATGAAATCATCACCAAACCGTCACAACTTTCTCGAAAGGTAAGAAAGTTAAAAGTAAAACCATGAAAGAGATTAAAAGGATAAAAATGGTTGGTCATCTCGCTTCAGTAATTGGCGGAAATTAATCGGAACAGTCGTATGCGTAATAAAATTTGTAGTAAAAATATTAAAGAAGATTCGAAAGTTAGACCACATCAGGCACAGGAGCTCAAATATGAATCTTCTGGCAAAAAACATGGTTAATTCGTCAATCTCAGTCGGAAGGAGTAATCTCAGAAGATGTATTAAAATGGATTTTATCGGGACAATAACATCTACAGATGCAAAGGTCGTATTCCTAATAATGCAATATTTTTTCCTAGAAAGACCGAACTCATTATCTTACATCTTCACACAACTCATGGTCACTGTGGTACCACATACACACTGGCACTACTACGGCAAGAGTATTTGATTTCGAAGGGTAGACGGACTGTAAGAAGTGCAATAAAGAGAAATTGCACGAGCTGCAGGAGAGAACTGGATTGCTAAGCCATTTAAACTACCCAATAAGCCCAATTTGCCAGTTTACAAAATTCAGCAACTACGACCCTTTAAATCAATCGGGTTAGATCTTTTTGGACCTTTTAATGTTCAGAAAGAAACCACGACAAGAAGTGGATAGTCCTTATCACTTGCTTGATAACTCGAGCTATTTAGAAATAGTCTGGGATTTATCAGCAGCTGCCTTCATCCACATATTTCGTAGGTTCTCGACTAGGTGGGGTCCACCAATGAAGATTTTGTCAGGTACGAATTTCGAATCAGCAGCTAAAGTACTCAGCACCCAACCGGTGGAAGGAAGCGTAGATTAGAAATCTCTAACGCCACATGCACTCTGGCAAGGAGGAGTTTATGAACGAACGATTGGTATAACGAAAACGGCAATGAGGAAAACAGTGGGCAGAAAATTGCTGCATTAAAAAGAATTGAGAATGCTTTTAGTGAAAGTGGAGAACATTGTTAACTTGAGACCATTAATATATGCCATGAAGGAACCCTGCGAAATTATTTGTCCTATTGATTAGATTCGTCCAGGAATTCCGGGAATAAAAAACCATTTACTACTGAATAAGGATGAGGATGAAAACTATGGCAGACTGGAAAGTTGTAGTAGAGATGCAGCAATAAAAAAGGATGGAAAGAATCTGAAAAATTGCTCCAAAAATTTTGGGAAGTGTGGCGGCAGGACTATATCAACCTACTTAGGGAAAGGCTAGCCGTCAGCATCGCAATCCACGTTCGAATCTCAGTAGAAGCTCAAAAGTAAATGAGGTCGTTTTACTATGTAAGGAGAACAAAGATAGAGGGATCTGGCAGTTGGCTAGGATCATTAAAATAAATGATGAGTTTCAGGGAAAAACTCTAAATCCCCATAAGATAAGAAGAACATTGGCCGTAGAGTTTATAATATATTTTTGAGAAATAAAAATCCCGTGTGGTTGGAAAGTTATTAAATCTGTAGAGAAAAAACACAGTGGAGCGAGTTCCCAAAAGGAATTTTTGTAGAATATTGGAAGAGGAATCACCGTGCTCCCAACGAAAATTTTATATTACTAAGAGTTTTCTGTACAGTTGGTGGCTCAATGCTTCAACATAAGAAGGAGGAAACTCTCAGTTGAAGATGGATCAATTCCGCGCTACACTCCAGATTCAGAATCTTCAGCAAGAAGATGAAAGAAAATATACGATCTACAAGTTGAAAAGTGCGTTCAAATATTTCCACTACAAAGCACATTAGTTGAAATGAAGCAGAAAATTATGAATAAAATGGCTATAATTAGCGATATGTGATGCACCATTAGAAAATATAATTGAAAACGCAAATAGCCGTCTCAAAAATTCCTATTGCCACTAGAACAGAAATTAATGAATTAGCATACGCCACAGCCACTGTAATTCTCGAAATGCTGGGATTTAAAATCAAGAACAATGCAATTCGCAATAACAACCCATGGAAAGAAAAGGAGGCTGGAAAATAAGATCAGAGCATAAATATAAATAAGTTAACCAATCGACAAAATTAATTAACGAAAGGTGCAAAGAATAAAAACATCAGGATGCTAGGAAAATACAAGAATCCGGATGCTAGGAAAAAACAAGGACTAAACTTACCTCGAGATTGCTATAGTACTGGTCACTAAGGAGGTGAATTAGAGAAGCTGAAGCTTAAAAGATTACACTGTTCTTCTATGAACTATCCAAGGTTTCTCTCAATTTTAATGCAGTAATTTTAATATGGTATCAACAAGGTTTTTGTAACCATCAACAGCAGAAAATACTGGAAAAACATATGGGAGAAACAGAAGATTCATAAAACCAATGCAAAATTGTTGCAAAATCTGAAAACAAGTAATAATTCCCACAGCAAAAACCAATTACCAATACAATTGCTGACACCCAACGCCAACTCAAAAATATGAAAAGCTGGATAGCACTTGGTTCGGAAATAATTCATATGATTCTACTGACACGGCAGAACAACCTGAGCATAGTTTTGATTGACTATAGAAAAACCTATGGACTCAATGCCCCACACATATGAGAATGTCAGGCATTTTATAAAATCAAGAAGATCCTAAGAATCCTTCTCAATAACTCAATGAGAATGTGGAAAACGACAGTGAGAGCTAACTCAAAATAGCTTGCATATGTGGTTACCAAGAATATATATTGATATGATGCATTGTCCTGGCTTCGTTATAATCTGAACCTCTTAGCCAGAAAACCACAGGTGGATACGGATACAAATATAAATTTAAAAATGGAACTCCACCTACCATCCTCTTTAAGTGGATGATATATTATATAACAAAACATTAAGAGACATTAACTTGCTCATTCATCTAACATGAATCTACAGATACTAGACTATCATTTAGGAGAAGTGTCGCCGGCTGGTAGTAAAGAAAGGGAAAACTACTAACAGTGATGGAATGGACCTACCAACAGGGCATATGGTATACATAGACTAGCTAGACAAGTGTTTTGATATTAGCCATCAGAACCAGGCAGACAAGGAAGAAGGTAACAACCAAGTATCATCAGCAGCTCGACCAGAAAGTGAAGATGCACGCCATGAACATATAAATCTTGCCAGTCATCATATATATTACTGGTGCAATGAGTTGTTTAAACGAAGAGCCCTCAATGTGAAAATCAGAAAATTCCTCACAATGTATGGAAATTTCCACTCTATATCTAAAAAACTGTAGCAGCAGAAGAAGAGGTTTAGGAGAGGTTTAGACTGTCAAAGTCTATTTGTCCTGACTGGAACCCGGAGCATTTAGCATATCAGCAAGTAGACATTAAAAAATGAGATGAAAAATGCTTAAAGCAGCAGACTTTGGAGAAAGATCAAGCAAAGGAAGAAAAAATACCACGGTAACGAAAAGATTCTCCACAGGATGTAGTATCAGTAGATAGCTAAGGTATAACATTGAGAAAGCTTGTTAGTAGTTCGTAACAAGAGCAAATATTAAGATCCATAAAAGTGGGATCAGATAGGTGCTACGATGTAAAAGCAAATAGGAACAACAATATGAAAGGCACAACCAAGTAGCTGGCTCATCTACAGGAATATCTGTGTGTGGCTTAGACTCCTCCAAGATTAGATGGGATATCTCCCAGAAAATCGTAGAAGGTAAGGTGAAGATATTGTGAGGCTTTTCCATCCGAACAAAACACTGGCCAGTCAACCAAATATTATGGTAATGAACAAGAATCAGAAATTAGCACTGGTAATAAATATGGCAATAGCAACAAGAGCAAGTGACAGGAATATCGGGAAGAAATATAAGAAGTAAATAAAGAAAAATACCAAGGGATGAAAGGAAGAGAAAAAAAAAAGAAAATGTGGAAATTAAAGGCCAAAGTAATTTCAGTGATAATTGCAGTACTTGGAGCTGTGGCCGCTAAACTAGAAAAGTGGTTTCAGCAGGTTCCAGGAACAAACCAGGATCTCTATCCAGAAGATCGCACTATTAGGAACAACCAAGGTATTGCGCAAATCTCCAAGGCCTCTGGTAGAGGACCCGAGGTTGAGAATAATAATCAATAATAATCATAACCTCTGAGAATAATCATTCACAGAGAATGAGGAAAAAAATATTAATATAGAATATTTATATATCAAATACTTATATAAATACTTAATAAAAGTGTGGGCCCATGTAATGCCTTTTCAACTGGGAACATTTCGTTGACACTCGTGTGCTCTTAAAAAAATAATGTCGTTAATCCCCTTTTCAGCCACTTTAATCTCTTACATCCCATTTTCATGTTTTTTTAATGTTCAGTCCTCTCACTTTACCTACCATTGACTTTAATTTGTTCTACTGATTAATATTAATGTTAATTTTTATTAATTTTTTGTAATATTAGTTTTTTTAAATTTATCTATTTTTTTTCAAAAGTCTCATCATTACTGGTTAAACTCGCTCCACTGGCTTATGGCACTGGGCAAATATGCTAAGGAGCAGAAAGTACCTTGGCGATAGAGGTGAATCGCCAGCATCACCCGGATTTTTGGATAGGTTTCCTCCTGTGGGCAATAGAACCTCAGCATCGACGCACCGAATTAGATAATAACCCAGTGAGCCATTCTATCATTCTATTAATCCCTTTCATTAATTTTCTAATAGTTTATCGATTAATATTAAATAAATCAAAACTAGTTGAATAGATTAGGCTTAAGTAGTGGCAAAATTGTCTCTGATTAATTCTAAAATGAAGCAATTCTAAAATTCAAAATATCAAAAGAATATTTTTTTTTGAACTCGTTCGCAAACCTGCCTTCTGGCAATATCCATAAGCCGAAAATAAAACTGCATTTTCAGCTATATTGGCAATTAAAGAAGGCACAGTTCCTAAAAAGCAAAAATTAAATTCTACAAGAAAATCATGGATTAGAACTTTAAAAAATTTCCTTCATCAAATATGACTAAATCGTACTACCACAAATAGAAAATAAATGTATTTTATGCCCATGAAAAAGCACGGCTAACTAAATATATGTAAGCTCTCGCCAAAGAAAATTCACTCGCAGTAGATGTAATTCCTTATGCATCTATTTTCCTCCGAACTGAATTTAAATTCATAAAAAAACCATAGGCATTTTGTTCGACAAATAAATTCACAGGAACTCGAGGTACGAGAAATAAAAACCAACCGGCATAAAGACCACGTACACCATCTAGCCTCAGCGTCTCCCTAAAACACTGCAAGCCACTGTTATATAGCTTTGGAAATGTCTGCATTTTTACTTTAACGGTATCTAATGGCTGACCAGAATAGACATTCGCAATTCCGCCTGAAATTTCTCAAGTTTCTTAATAGTTTACTTAGAATTTTCATTTTTCAATAAAAAGTTATGAGATGAAATAAAAAACACAAAAACTTAATAATTCCATCTTCAAGGAGATCTTATAGGCCTTTTTTGTTGTAGTTTATAAGTTAGATTAACATTAAAAACAGTAAGAAAATTTCGAAAAGCTCTCTAAATTTTTATTTTATTCATAAAATTAGATATTCACAAAAAATAGAACGAACCACATGTCCCTGCAAATAAATCAATTATCCCATCCTTGAAGTGACTGTGTGGACTAAATTGCGATTCTATCTCGAACTGTTCCATACTCCTCAATAATTTATCCTAAATAGATATATTTCCGCAACGAGAAATAAGTCATAGCAAGGCTGATTTAAAACAGCGAGTTAGCAGTGCGAGAAAAAAAAATAGAATCATGCGGCGGATTTTTCAAAACCGATAACAGTTTCCACGACGGTCAAACACAAGCTTTTTTTTAAAGGCAATCACCACTTCTGGCTACAAATGCTCAGACGAACTTTGCCAGGCAGCCACCCGCCAACAGAAGTATAGGTGAGTCGCCAGCAACACCTGCAACAATATTTCTACCCGTAAGAAACAACATTTCTGTTACTCATGAATTCTTTAAAATATTTATTACAAAAATAATTTACAATCAAAAAAGGCAAAAAAAACTGGAAAAAAAAGAATTTTCTCTCGTAATTAGCTTAAAATTCCAACAAATTTTGCAAATATTTGCAAAACCTTACCCAACGAGAAACGACTCGCACAACAAAACGTTCCATTAAAAATTCCTCTCACTGATTTACCAAAGAATGAATTCAGATTCTGCTTCTTTATCTATCCAACACAATCGATATTTATGATTAGATAACTAACTTCAATTATAAAAAGTTAAAAAGAGCAAAAGGATTCAAAATCGTTCAGCCACTCCAGATGACAAAGAAGTTACTGCAAATCAAAGAAAAAATAAACGAAGACAATTAGCAACGATCCAGTACTATCTATCAATACTTGAAGATAATACCCCAATGAAAATTGCTACTAAAAACATTTTCTACTTCAACATGGAATTACGCAATTTCTTTAGTCTATCCATGTCAACGAAAAATTATAATTTAAAAATTATGATTTCCAAGAGATTGAATTTTTGCGATAATTATCATATTAAAACGATAGTAATATATAAAATCCAAGAGATCATCGATAATGAACCAGTGATACCGATTAATAATTCTGTATTTATGATTCAAAACTGAATCAAGACAGTTGAAAGTTATCACCAAAATTACTAAGTGAGTAACAGAAATGAAACCAATTCGAAAAATATCCACAATCAATCCACAGTCCACAGTCAAGCAGAAAAATATAAAAACATCAGTGAAGCACGAGCAAAAAAAAAATCACAAAAAACAAAACTGATCAAAAAGATAAACATGGAAATCTGAACGATGATTCTAAAGATAAAAGTAATTTTAGGATAATTTACGCAAAAATATTTATCAATTATTTTATTAATAAAGCATTTCATTCTGCTGGATGAGTTAATTTTTTTCTTTTATTTTTATGATAAATTTATTCCATTTGATTACAAAAGTTTTTGCCGACATATTTCATAAACCATCCGTTGTCGATAATAAGGCATATGTTCTTGAGTAAAAATTATATCCGCACGACGTGAAATAAATTCAGCAAATTTGCACACAAAAACTCCACAGTCACTGCCATTCATCTGTTGCGGTATATCCTTCAATTATATTTGATTTATTTCGAAATAAACAAGAACTACCAGAAAATGGCTGGTCAGGCAAAAACTGCCAACGCCCCTAGACTTCGAACAACATGCAATGTAGCATAATTATAAAATAATATTTAAGAAAATATTTATTTTAATATTTAAATATTTAATACAATATTTATATTTAGATTTAAGAATAATTATCTTGAACTTTCTTGAATAAATTCTGAATGTTAGCATAAAGATTCAAATTCATCTTAATAAAAATAAACTAACGATAATAAGAAAACTGGTAAAATATAACATACATTCTTAGCAACAAATTGCCAATCACATAAATCGAATTCCATATTTTTCTTATCACGAGATTCATCTTTTAGATACTCACTAAAAGAAAATAGAAAAAAAATTTTCTTTTTCGAAAACTCCTTTGAGAAATTTTTTTTATTGGTAATTTTATTGGTAATTTTGAGGTACATTTATTCTATACTTTTTATCTTTTATACTTAATATCTTTACGCTAGTATCATTTAAAGCATTTTTTTGCAATACTAATGCAAAAATTTTTTTTACCTGAGTGTTTCTAAACATAAATCATTTCTATGCAACATCGAATCATAGTATTCGATAAACTTGTTGGAAAAATCGATTACCTACAAAAGATAACAAAACAATAATAATAAAGTTACTGTTAATAAAATTAATAAGATTAAGATTTTACCATGTAATTACTAGGATATAGAAATATAATTGAGTTCCTAATCCTAATATCCAAATTTTTTAAAAATAATAAATATAATAAATAATAAAAATAATAGCAAAAGTTACTAAAGCTTTCCGATATACTTATACCATACTTATCACACTTATTTTTAAAAAAATCTCAAAATCAAAAGAAAGCTGTTAATTTTTGATTTAATTAATAAAAAAAATACCGCAAGGCACCAGTGTGCACTAAGATGTATAGGGACAAGGATAATGTCGAAGCTAAAGATGTCCACTTTACGTGTCCAACGTTTGACGGATTGATATCCTTTAGCTAGCAGAGTTGGATAAAAAAATGTTGTAAATGCATAAACCTTCAATTTTTGAAAAGTGCTTTGAAAATTGAAGCAATTCGAATAAAAATAAAAATGTTTTTAATTCAACATTAATATTTCTTTTTGGCTAATAAAATTCTATATGCTTATGTCTGAATTTACTGAAATGACGTATGATTATGTATCAGACGGAATTTCATACCTTAGGATAAGAACAATTATCAGCCGCGCGCTTGCAAATTAATTTCATATAGAAATTTATAACTTCGTCATTCAACCACTCCAATCCTCTTAAGGTTAAAAGATCCTTACGCATTATTTCATCGCAAAATTTTTCATCTAATGGCAAGCTTTTGTTCCATGCTCGTTTAATCAATTCATGTGCTTCACTATCAAGCTCTGAAAAAAAAATTTTCGATAATTGCACCGCCTTTACATTGATAAAATATCTACACTATCGAAAAATTACCAAGTTAAAAATAAAAGAACTGAGAAAAATGTTATAAATGCATAAAAATGCATGCCACTGAAAAAAAGCCATTCACAAAAAAAAATCTTTAAAAAAATGAGATACCCTGAAATTCGTTTGGAATTAGCTTTTTGCTTCTGCTCCGGAAAATATAACCTTCTATGGTCAATTTCTTCCGAAGCTGTTCTTCTAAACTTATTTCTTCATATACCCTTGCTTCTTCTCTAAATACCGTTTTAGATATTATTTTTTAATTTAAAACAACGGCAAAATTTAGGTTTTTCCTGAAAAAATTTACTTTAATGGTGAAAATGCCTTAATATTATACTGCATTTACAACTGTACTTTTTTGTATTTTTCTAGTTCAAAAACTGATTTAAAAAATTGCCAGATTGTCACCAAAAATGAAAATAAGAATAATGAAAATGTTTACATTTTACTACTTATACCCACTCTTATTCTTATTAATCATATTTAAAATAAAATTTATAAATAGTACCTTAACTGTTTTTCTAAACGTAATTGTTCTGTGCGACGAGTTCTTAATTCTGCTTCTTGTAAGAACCGATTAAAACGATCCTTTATCAATTTGCTATTATTTTCTTCAATCTTCAACTTTGTATTAATCTCTTCTGCTTTTTCTTCATTCCAAATGCTATATTAAAAAATATGGTTATAGATGAATTGTCGTTAACTACATTATTTTGAAAATAAATTAATAAAAACTGCACCTCCGATAATTAGTCGATGCCAATAATGGCAACTGGTCTTGATTTGATTGATTTATACCATGAACTGATGGAACTGAATCTTCAATTAGTTGAACGCTCGCATTACTTGATTTATGAATGCTATTTTTACACTCTATTGTTGGAGAACTATCATACTTGTACGTGGCCTTGTCATTCACTATAGAGTCAAGAATAGCCCTACCACGTCGTAGAATCTCGCATGAACTTAACTGCTTACTATGGCGATAAAAATGACGTGAATTACGAGGAGATCTGGAATAATGAAATGGTTAAAAAAAGTTTACAAATCTTCATTTTAAAAATATAAAGCAATATCTACATCTACTGAAGAAAATTATCTACCTTTCATTTAAGCAACCAGTATCAAACTTGACAAATCCAACACCCAACCGTTGAAGTAACGCTCGATATCGATCCTTTGCTTCGATATCTATGGACTAAAAAAATTAATTTACCTTATCCTTTTTTATTAACAAATAGGCCACAATATTTTTAATTTAGAAACTTAAATTTTCCTAAAAACCCAATATTCCAATGAGAAAAACCAGTGAAACTAAAAATAAATCAAAGGTGACATATGTAATCTGTAATCTAAGCATAATAAAAACTGTACTTTTTTGAACTCATAAATTTTTGAATAATTACATGTATATGATTCAAACCAAAAAATTTACATTATCACTGTTACCGCTCATATCCAGTTCGACCTTCAAGCGATCGCGAAAATCAATATCGCTAATAAAATTATTCGAAGAATGAGGCCGAATGCTGTTCATCCATGGTAGATCAACAGCTCGACGCCTTTTCCATTTATCGATACATCTTCGGTTTTCTTAATTACAGTTATAAATTATCGATTTAACAGTTCAAATTAATGCATATTATAAAAAAAGTACTAGGTCGACAATAAGCGGGAGATGTAGCCCGACTGGCACTGTGTTCAGGTTGTGGAGAAGGTGAATGGGATTCTTGACTGAAAACAGTAGCGTTGTTATCGCATATTCCTTCCGTAAACAATGAACCTTAAAGTGCTTTTTTTCATAAACTATTATAATATTCCATAATGCTCAGATTTCTTTTTTTGACATTTAATGTAAATATCAAGCAAATAAGCAATAACCTGGCATGTGGATCCTATTTACATTTTCCACCTCAATAACGTCACTATCACTTTGTTCTTCAAAAGAAACAGTGATATTCTTCGCCGAACATAAACTTCCCATCTTTTTTCTAGGAAATAGGCCTAGAAATTGCGGAATAATTCGATATTAGCTTTCTCAAATATTAAGCTAACGATTATTAAAATTTCTAATTTTTGTAAATTTAAAAGTTAATTATTAGACAAATGTGAAATGGTAAAAAAAAAAAAGATTTGTATTTTGTAATTTTATTCACACTTGTAATTTTTTTTACACTGTCAGCCTTATTAATATTCGGATGCACTTCAAAATACAACTACATTAGTTTTATAATATAAAGATATGAATAATATATATGAATTACTTGTTTATTTGATAGTGCTCTTTCGAGAATGCATGTATGAATGTATTTTTATATAGATGACAGAACGACTGTGTTTGTTATTCATCGCATATTGTCATCAGTAATCTTAGTTATTTGTAAATAAATTGTTACTATCATCCCTAAGATAAAATTTACTAGATCTTCTTTCTCGACAAAACGCAAACAAAAAATAATTTGAATATCGTTAATAATTTATTGAAAATAGTGGATAAATGAACCTATATGTTTTGCACTTAACGCATAATCAACTGGAAACATAGGAGTTTCCTTGTGGTTTTGTACAAATGACGACACTGACACGGAAGTTTGGTCATACTGATTGTCCGTTAAATCTAAAAAATAATATAGGGAAGATTAAAAAAAATTAAATGGTAGAAATGATAGGAAATGGTAAATGGTATGAACAGAATAAAAAAAGAAAGTATCATCAAAATAATATATTTATAATAATTTATAATAAATATTTATTTATATTTATATTTATAATAAATTCAAAATTTATTCAAAATAAATTTAAAGCATTATTTTGAAAAATTTACAGAAAATTTAAAGTAGATACCTAGATTTAACATTTGCTTATCGAAGAAAGAAAATACATACAATAAAAAATAATTGGAAAAGTACCTATAATGATGGGAACATGTTGGGATTTCTTCTTTTCAGCATTTTTTTGCTTTAAATTTATCATTTCATTGTGAAACTTCGTTGTAAAACAATGCTTCGAAGATAGAGAAACGCGTTTTCTAGGTAATTCAGTTGATGATAACAAAATTGGTTCCACTTTTCGTACCTCTTGACTAGATTTTTGTCGCAAAAAACTTGGTACAGCAGAAACAGCGCCCGCCACGAATTTACTTAATGTTCTACCTTAAAAGAATCTGATTTAAATACACTTAATCTAAATTCACTTAATTTAACAAAATCATGAAAAAAAGCGAGATTCAAATCAACTTCATTAACAGATATATATATAATATATACGCATCCTTTTAATTGTTATTTTTGCGAGGTTAAAATAAAAAATCCCAATACCTAGCCAATTTTGAAATCCACCACTTTCAGTAGCAACCAATGATGGATCTAATTTCCTACGCTTGCAACTTTGCTTCGATTCCATATAAAATATCCGATTCCAACAAATCCATTTATTAAATCTGATGATGAACTATGCGCACAGCTCCTCGACATAAAACAAGTAGCATCAAAAATTACTGCCTTAAATAAAATACTTATATCTAATCGTATTTAGAATCTCCTGAACATTTAAAAAACTCCATGTTATTATATTATTTAAATAAACAAAAACAACATGAATAAAATACTTCATTTAATAGATAACTTCAAGGAGACAAATTTACCAAAAGTTTAACAGTAAACTAATCAGGAGTTTTTATTCGACAAAAAAGGATCATAGCAATTTTCACATCATGAGCAAACCTCATCAAAATCATAAATAATCAGCATTTGCATAAATGAACTTATTTTAATAATTCACGGCCATGAATTTATTAAAATTTTAACGAAATTGGTAAGATTTTCGAAAAAAACTTCCAAGTTATCTAGAAAATCATTTAAAAAATAAATTTAATAATTTTCATTTCGGTTATAATATTAGAAAATTTGTAAAAAAAGCACACTAGGAAATACGCTAGGATCACAAAAAATCAGATTCTACCGTGCCAAATTATTTATGTTCAAAATTTTCACGAATGAGAAAACTGAGAAATATTATTTCGAGTTTTAAATAATTCTTATTAAATAATGATTTGTATAAGATGGCGGACAGACTAAATTTGCAAGTGGAACAAAATTCTTTGTAAATGTCCACATGAATAGATCCACATAGTACGATGAATATTACGAAAACTTTCATTTTTTTAAAATCCAAATAGAATAAAAATGAAGTTTAAGCTGAATATACACGGAGAGATCGGTCCATACCAGTGGAGAAAATCGAATGAGCATTAAGACCAAATCGGACGCAAGTCACAGATTCTTTATGATTCTCTAGTTTATTGAGTATTATCCAAGGCTTAACGTGAATTATTTGAACATCCGCGCCAGCAACTGCCAAATAACTACCCGACTGATCGAAACAAATTCCAGAAAGCTGTAAAAAAACATAGCAATAATTTCCGATAACTATGAGGAATGGCTCGAGTCTACATTAAAATTTTAAAAATAAATATATAAATATAAAATAAATACTAAAATGAAATTCATAAAGATAAATCTAAAATAGTTCACAAAAAGTCAAGCAATACTTGGTTCTAGTTAAGTAAATAAATTTTTAATTTCCATTTAAATATTACTTAAAATTTTCAAAAATATGTTTGATATATCTTATCTAAAATATTAGCAAAACAAACTGCATATTTTCCATCATTGATCGACAATGTTTTAAAGCTCTTCAGTTTTCGTAAATCCCATAATTTCACTTCACCATCTTCAGCACCAGTAGCTAGATAATAACCGTTCTCAGAGAAAGAAATTGCTCTAACAGCTCCTCAAAAAATCATTTTTAATATTTTTCTTTCTCTTGCACAGTTCAGTTCTCTAGCTTACACAAAACAAGAACCTTGATGCCCAGGGAAATTGGCAACATTAGTCTGCTCTTTCAAATCCCAGATTTTAACGATTGAATCAGCGGTACCAATGCCAAAGATCAATCCGTCGGGATGGAATTGTCCGCAACATATAGCCACACCATTTTTTTCTTCTAATTGTATCTTTAAATGTTAATTTAGTAAAAAACTAAATATGAGGGGTTAAAAAAAATGTCGACAATTTTTCTCAAAAATGTATTTTTTTCAAAATGCATTTATTATATTTGAAATAAAATAATTAAAAAACTACAGAAAACATAGTATTAATTAGTCATCTACTTTAAAATTTTCTCATTTATAAAGAAATTCATTAATTTCTCTTTTTCTTTTAGATTCGAAATATTCTTTAAAACCATTTTTCACATTCTCAAAGAAATTTTTTTTCAAGCAATGAGAAATTCGCACATCAGAAATTATAATCAGAAGGGATAAGGTCGGGGTTATAAAGTGGATAAATCAAGTTCTCTGGTTTTTTGGAATATTTTTTGAAGAATGAGATGATATGGCGGATTAACAGTGAACATCAGAAATGATAATCTAACTTGGTCTGAGCAACTCATAATGAATTCCCTTCATTTCTCATCACACACTCAATAGCATTTTTTCGCTGTAGGCAATTATTCTTTCTGGTTCTCTTGCTGATAAGCTTTCATGATTTATCGCAGATCTTTTCTGCTTTTATTACCAAAAACTATTCTGTCCAAAAATGATTTGCTTCCTATTTAGAAAAAGCGAAGCAAATACTGACGACAGATGAAATGTGCTTTTTGGTTAATAGATATGGAATCCAAACATCAGCCTTATTTACCTTTTTACAGCTTGAGGAAAAGGAAATATTGTTTGCCTGTTATGTTTTTTTAGCGATTTCATACAATGTTCGGAACAGGCTCGATTGTGAAGTCTTCTTCTTCATCAAATTTTGAAGGCTCACCAGTATCAAATTTCGAAAACCTCCACATCCACTGCTTTCGAACTTATAGTTTATGTTACTATATTTACCCAATGATTAGAGCAATACTGCAAATATTCCTCAGATGGTATTTCATATTTATTACTGGACCACCGAGTATCAAGGCTTGGATTCAAATCTGCAGACGCACCAATCTCCGTCTGGCCGTCTAATGGAGAAAAGTAAAGAATGGCTCAATGACTTGTTGCTCAATTCGGACATTGATGTTGAGGTTCCAGCAGCAGTGAACCTAATCCGGGTAATGTTAGCGACACTTATACTTTCACCTATACTTTTTATAAGTCCCTGGCATATTTGTCCACACAAGCCAGCAGAGCGAGTCGAATCGGTAATGCCCTTAAAAAAAAAAAATTGCTGGACCTAGACAAATTTCCATTAAATTCAACTGGAAATGATCCTTTTTACAGAAAACCACTTCGCCAAAAAAACCCATCTTAAAAAAACAATAAGAAAAAAAGATAATTAACTGATGAAAACTGATGATAAAATTTGGGAAAGAAAATAATTTGGCACTATAAAACGATTCAAAATCGGAAATGAAATGAATTTTAAAAAACAGCCCCATGAACCTTGCAAAGAGTTTTGCCAACATGAATATCTGAAAGTGCCCAATGTGAATCATTTGAAACAGATAAAACATAATCGCCAGTTGCATGCAAAGAAATATCTGTTACGGCAGCTTCATGAGTATCTATAACATGTTTACAATGTTCCTCTTTGTTTGCCCATATTCTGACCTTAAAACATTTGAATATTCAATCTAAAATAAAAAATAAATTACCATATAAATGAATATGAGAAAAACATGTTAAACCAAAAACCTGAGAATCGTGTGAGGCAGAGAGACTGATTTGTTCAGTGGGGTGAAGAATAACAGCAGCAATTTTTTTTTGATGACCTTTGAAAGTCGTTTGTACAGTCTCAGTCTCACTATTGAATAAAACGACAGTTTTATCAGCTCCACCAGTCAAAACCATATCACCCTTAAATAAACTTTCTTCAAAACCGAGAGCTACATTAATTCGCCTTGTATTTTATATGACTTGAAACTTTAAGAAAAAAAAGAAGGACCTTAAAAAAATAGTCCAATCAGTTTCTATCTGAAGATTCGCTTGCAAAAATATAAGAATATGTTGCAAAACTAAAATCCTTTAAGCATAAATTTGAACAAAAAATCTGAACTCACTCACCTGAACATCAAGAGCAGTAACACCAGGTACACTAGCACTATGTATACCAGTGTGGAACGCAATTTGCGTGAAGGCTTTGATTGCATCCGGTTTAGCCAAAGCTTCTGGCAAACTCTTGCCACGCTGCTTTCTTGCAGCAGTCAATGTGGCCGATTTCTCTTGTAATTTCTTAAGCACTGCTTCACTAATACCAGATATGCCTGCCAAAAAATTTGGGATGAAAAGAACTTTTAATCACAAATGTTCGACCAGGAATTAAATTTAATTTTTGAATAAATAATGCTAGAAAAGCAGTTCAAAGCAGTTCACAACCTTCATCCACAGTTTCCATCATTTCGTCAGAAACCAGCAAATTGTCAACCGTTGCATGTGGTTTCAATGTTGACAATGCCTCTCGTGCAGCATTCAATTCTTTCGACAATCGTGCAATAACTCGACAAGCAGCATCGTGCTAAAAAAAAGCAAAATAAACCAATAGTATAATATTAATTGTTCATATAAATTCATATAAATCAAGGCAGAAATATATTCAAAAATTAATAAAATGCAGATAAAAAAGCATATATTTAATAATCCATTTAGTTTTATCCTTTAACGCCTTGGTAATTAGATTTTATATTCTAAAACATTAATAAATAAAAAAGCATCAACTATAAAAAATTTGAAAGGACTAAAAAAATTGAAAAGAAAAAAAAACCCAAATATTAAATCAATATTAGCGAAGCAAATAACAAATATGTGGAAAATAAAAAAAGAAAAGAAATTAGCAGTACCAGAAAAGAAAATCCAACATTTAATTACCTGATAAAGCGTATGAGATAATTCTTGACGCGCTGTTTGCAGTTGCTCACGTAGAACAAAGCTATTTAACATACAAGCATCCCATTCATCTTGTAGCATTTTTAGCATCGACGGAATGGATGTTGCGGCAACTGTACGTGGCATAGCGTTTCCTCCATCAACTTGCAATTCAATCAACTGAAAAGTGGAAAACAATTGCTGCAGTCAAAAATTTTTTAAATAATAAAATAATAATAAGAACGAAATCTTATTATATTTCAACATGACTTGAAGTAAATGAAGTAAAAAGAGATGCACAAAAAAGAATTAAAAGAGATGTTGTTTTGACTGATTAAATCATTGACAGTTGGCCTTTTTTCAAAAGTGACATCGACAGCAGCTGGAGACCGACGTTCAAAACAACCACAATCTTAGCCAGGTGAGATCAAAAATGGTGAATAATAGAGGAGGAAAAAAGAATAAGAAGAATGCGCTAAATTTAAGTTAAACATTCTATAATCCATAAATATAATAATTAAGAAAAAAGTTCGACCTAAGAAAATATTCAAATTTTTATTTAAATTTGAACAAACCAAATTATTCGAACAATTAAAAACATTTTTCATGCATTTTCTAAAAATGCATTTTGGTCCCTAAAAAATAATGCAGAAAGAAAGAAAATCTATACAGCTAAGAAGATAAGAATAATTCAAATAAACAAATACTTGATCCGCGCTAAGTTTTTCATGATTCGTTGGATCGGTTCCATTTTCCGCGATATATTTCATTATGAGGCGCTTTTCAAAAATTCGACCCGAGACAGGCGAGACGACCGGAACTTCAGCCAATTCACCACTTATTGAACACGCATAAAGCGATGCCATTTCAAACTGTAATCGTTAAAAAACCGATCGCTTCAAAGATGTTTTTAAAAAATTTTTAGATCAAAAGAAAATTCATTTCAGTTGGCTTCCTTCCGGTTGAAAGGATCACTCCCCCCCGTCCAATTCTCCCAATCCCCAGTTTCTCACCACACAAAAATCAACCGATCCACACTTCCCCTCAATAAACTCGACGTATCCGCAAAACTTGCAAGCACCCTTCACTAATTTGAAAATCACATTCAACTTCTTAAGCCGATACGTCCAATTTCGGCTGACATTAAAATTCGTTCTTGACAAATTTATTTAAAATGTAGATCTGCATTTAAGTGAAAAACTTGGGCATTTTATATTCGTGAGTAGAAGAAATGAAACAAAGAGGTGGCAGAGCGGCGGTGGCGTAGTGGTCGTTCTTCAGTCACGTATCTCGCAGAGCAAACCTCGCATGCCGTCGTTATGCGTTCCGAAATTCCAGAAACGAGGTGGAGGATATATTTTAGTGCAGAACGAAGCGCGTGAAACAGATATTGTCGAAACACCAACAGTTCGACCGCCTTCAGTGCCTCTCCGGTAAGAATTTCGTGCAGCGAACCCAGTTGCTGCCGCCGAGGGCTACTAAAATGGTTAAAACCTCTCCTAATATCCTTTTCTTTTAAAAAGATCTACGATTGGAAACATGTAATTTTGACGAAAAAAGTATTCGTGGAAAATTTTTGCCGACAATTGAAATATTGCATAATTCCAATGTCGAGTTGTATTTTAAAAGACTTTAATTGATATCTAATTGACTTTAAAAACTGATATCTCTAAATTGATATATCTGCACTTCGCGAATATGAAACTCTCTTCAAATAATTTGATTATATTGGTGGGTACGTCCTTTAAACTAACCGAATATATAAATTTGTGTTGCATTAATCTATTGCTGGTGATACATTTTCCGCAAGTACATTTATGCCGACAGCAAGAAACATTTATTTTTCGAATTAGAATCGAAGGAGAAAATCAAAAACCAAAATTTTACATGTTTTTTTGAAAAATCTTTTGATATCTCTTAATCCTTCGGCATCACGAATTTCGAAGTTCTCATAAATTTTTGTTTGAATTATTTGATTTTCTATCTGATTTTGATTTGATTTTCGAATAATAAAAAAATAAACAATAAACATTAGTCTATTAGTAACAAATTTCAAAAGACAATGCATTTTTTTAAAACGTCTGACTTCTAATTAAATTCCATAGAAGGGAATTAAAAAATTATGAAAACATTTAATTGAAAGACTGCAAACATTTAATTGAAAAATCATAAAAAATGAATGGAGGTGTTGATAAAATATTATATAAATGTTGATAAATGTTCCGGTAATAACATAAAAACAGAGACTGGAAGCAAAGAAAAGAGAAAAAGTGAAAATGAACCATCCAATTCAAACTTCAAAAAATGAGAGTGACTATGCCATTTTTGAGTTAAGCAGCTCTTGAGTTAATTCTTCGGCATCACGAATTTCGAAGTTCTAAAATAAAAAATAAGGAATACAAGCTCGAGCAATACAATACCGGAGAGAAATATCAAATAACAACCTTTGTAAGCTCACATTCACTTACAAAATGATTTCTACTGCCAGCATAGAGCATTTGCAAATCTGGATGACATCCTGGAATATATCAATTTAGAGAAAAAAATATGTTTTTTCTTCATTTCTTTTTCTTCTAACAATTCTTACCATTATTATTTATGCTGACTTGCTTGCTGCAAGGAAGCACAAGACACTTCCAGGCAATTCGATCCGATACTATACCTGAGAATCAGAGAACTCACTGCTTTTCCACCGTATATATCGCTGGACCGTCATATGTTCAAAACTTCTCCTGACCGCATCAATCCAGGTTTTTATTGGTTCTTCTCAATTTTGATGTCATCTATCACAGCACTTAGCAATTAGAGATGTGTTAATTCCTTCGATGTGGCATAAAGATGGCTTAATACGCGTGGGTGACGATATTTTCATTGCATATGGTAGTCGAGCAAAAGTGAATTACTTGATCACTCCAATCACTTAAGATTCTACCCGAGCATATAAAATATATCTCCTGTGGTATAGTTTGTGATCAGAAAACGAATGGTCGAAGGATAGCTTCTAATCATCAACTGATCATAGTTCGCAACAGGAGTAGACGGTAACCCCACAGATATGAACTTTCGCTCTAATGGTGATTTCGGAACGATCCCATCTAGGTTTCGCCAGACAAAAGAACGTGTTTATCTGCGGTTATCCGGACTGATATATCCATTTGATACAAAAGTGGATTCAAGATATTTAAAGTCTCACTCTTCCCCAATCCATGATGAATTGATTAAAACGGGTATTTTACCCATTTAGCGTGCAAAACAAAAAGAATCGGAAAAGATTTAACCCTAAACCCGATTTTTTCTGTGATATACTACATTTCATTTATATTTAATTGTTTTCTGTATTTACTTAGATTTATAATCATTTTAAAAATCCTGAGAAAATGAATTAAAGAAATTAGAATAGGTAAAATCTTACCGAAATGTAAGAAAATATAGAAATACAGCTATTTGTAATGGTAATTACAATGGTAATAGCAAAACTTAGCAAAATGAAAAAAGATACCATCTGGAGTATAAAAAACAAAGCACAATGGAAGAGAAACACGTCCATCTGTATGGTTATATTCAAAACTAATAAGTATAAATCGAGGTTGTTGAGAAGGTAATTCATCACATATTTCTTCAATTGTACAATCCTGGAAGGTTGACATTTTTATTTTTATTTATTACTAATAATTTCGATAAGAAAACCAGTGATGCGATTTTTCAAAAAAAAAAATAAATTTGATAATTAACCTCTAATTTGTTTTCAAGAACAATACGTTGTTCCTCTCGCTCAATTTTTACTAAAATTCACCAAAATCATTCCCAATGATTAAATTATAAAATAGACATTGAAAATATTGAAAGAAAATCATCTAAGAAATTTGAAGCAAGAAATGAAAAAATAAAAACCTTAAAACCTCAATTAACTAAATTAACAGAAAATTAAGACTTACGAATCAATGCATTTGTGGAGCGGCTCTTATTAAACCGGAATTGTTCCAGTTCTTCCTTCACATTTCTAGGAACATGGCAAATAGCTAGAGTGCCACTCTAAAAACTCCTTTTTCTTTTATTTAAATCAAAAATTTTAGTATAAAGACTTTCCTTTATTGAAATTTTATTAAATTTTATCATTTTATAGAAAAAATAGATAATGCTATATTGTTCAACCAACCATGTTTGATAATTGATATCTAAAATTACTTCGACTTCTGACGGAAAACTATCATCTGAAAAAAAAAAAACAAATAGGAAAAAAGGATATTCCTACGGTAATTATTTTCTAAAAATCCTAAAAGATTTTCTTCCAGCCAAAAAATGAAATCAAAGAAAAGGAAAAACTGCAAGCGAATTTTACAAAAATTAAGAAATATCTAAATAATTCACATATAACCTCGCAAATATAAAACCAATCCTCCGAATTAAAAAGAAAAAACGAATAGAAAAGGAAATTACAAAATAAGAAGGAATAAACCGAGAGAACGATAATTTAATGAAATTTTTTCATTATATTAAATACAAAAACTTCACATTAGAAATATCAAAAGCAATAGTGTCTATAATTTATGAATGAATATACAATACAATATAATGAAAAAAATGAACATATGCAAATGCAAATACAAATGAATATAACAATTGATAATCAATATTTTATGGTTGTTTTAAATTACTTTGGTATATAAATTCATAGATTAGGCAGTCTGCTCTTTAAATATGCTATTTATGCTAAATATATATTAAAAAATATAACTAACAATATGTAATATTAAAAAATATAACAATAAAAATACAACTAACAATAAAAATAAAAATATTAAATAAAAATATATAATTAACAATAATAAAAACATTAAGAAAAAGGAAGAAATATATTTTTTTTATTGTATAAATCTAAAATTTCATTAATAACTCGAATTTCTGAAGACTAAATCATATTTTAAAATAATATTATATGTGGTCTAAGAATAATCGTTTTATTGTTAACTGAGTGAGTGAATGGCGACAATCCGTCCGTAAGACTATCACTACGCATTCCACCAAAAACAATCACTTCACCTCGTCCAACACATATTGAATACAAAATAGTATCTTCTGAAGCATTAGGCTCGATATCCTGTTGCCGCCACCTGGAAATTTTTTTAAAAAATTTTTCAAATAAATAGCAAAAATTAAAGAAAGAAAATAACCACGGCAAAATGAAAAAGGTTATAGCCAAATCAATTTTCTAGTAGAGAACCACTATTTCTTTAGCGATCGTTTTCTGTCCCGCTCTATTAATTTTTCTCACGATATTACAAGAATTCAAACTTTTTTTAGAACAATTAAGGTAAATTCTTTTAAATTTTCAAAAATTTCAAGGAAGAATTACAATTAAATAAAATTACATATATATATATATAATTAAAAAATTTTCTTAATCCTTTTTTCTTTTTTAAGTTTACTTTCTATTTTGTTTTCTCTTCCTTAATTTTTTTCCTTTTTATATTATAAGCAATAATTCACTACTTCTTTCGCTATCAAAATAAAAAAGACACACGTGGCAATTTTTTCAGTGAGTGCGCTCGATAGGTCTAGAACATAGGCGCAAAGAAAACGCCGATTAGGTGAAAGAAAAGTTAATCCAGAAATACGATCCTTTTCCCGGTGAATCCTCGATAATCCTTTAAAAAATATCCTTAATAAATTTAATACAAATATATTTGGAATCACCTATCTCTTTTTCAAAATTCTTTTGTTAGAAATTTCGAATTCTTTGCAAGTTGCTTTTGCTTTTGCTTATCTATCTTAAATGAACTTTAATTTTTTGAAAACTTTACTTTTGCAACTCAAAAAATAAAATATGAGAGTACCTGTATTAAGAGCACGACTATCACGATTCACTGTATCGGCAACTCTGAAAATAAAATAATTTTTGACACGAACAAAAGAAATTTGCATGGTATCTCTACCCGTTTAGTCAAAGGAACTTTGAAACTTATAATAAAATATTTAAAAGATTGAAAAGGAGAAATTTTATGAAACTGAGAAAAATAAGCCAATATGAATTTGACATCATGTATAAAAACAAATAAATATATTACTTACGGAACCCGCTTTGCAGAATCTTGCAAATGTATTCCTTTTAAGCTAGATATGTTATTTATCTGCCATCCTAAAAATCTGTGATCAGAAAACTTAAAAAATTTTAAAAATATTTAAAATCTAAGGAATGAATTTGAAGACAAAATGCAGACCTATAAATACAAATAAGATAAATTACCTTGTTGAGATTCTTGGGAAAATAAACTGGTTGACGGCATGACAGGCATATCTTCTTGATTATCACTGAAATTAAAACTGCGCGAATCAACTAATTCTTCTAATAGCTCGCATCATTACTGGCTTTAATGGCAGGATAAGGACATTTTCAAGCTGCTTGATCAGATACCATACTTGAGAAATCATCATACTTCACCATCGTCTAAGCCCATATCGTTGTGTCAACAAAATCTCTCTTGACTGTACCAATCTTCGTTACATCTTCTCGCACTTAACGCCATCTAATTGTGTTAATGCTAAATAATAAGCGAGATAAGCGTCAATTTCTGCGAGGATTAGCGAGGAACATAGCCTAAGCAGCGCATTCGACACTCTATCTCAGATATTATTAATGCAGACGATATCTGAGCCAGATGTTTAGCATCACACTGAATATCTTCATAATTTTAGTCAATACAATGATCTGATATTTTTCTATGTAAAACGTGGATGTCATGAATACTATAGCTTCTTAATATCTTCCACTCTCGTCGGTCATATAACTATGCAATAAAATGGTATTCATTACAGCCAAACAGAAGAGAATTTTCGTTCTGGAAGCAACTTTGTTGCGATTCCATAGATATTTCGCCAATTGAAAGAACGCACTTTTGGCTGTAGCGATTTCGTCTTTTATTTAGCCATTTGATATAAAAGATAAAGTATGGTATTTCCTCAAGCAATGATTTTATCGGCTTCTGATATAAGATAAGAAGAAGACGTTCTCACTGATTTCGATCTTTTAGCAGTTATCAATGCATTTGATGTCTAGCATCTCAAGGATATGTTCATAATTTAAGCAAAAAAGACTATATCTTAGACCTGTGATGTTAAACACAGGAATGACTTGTACACCTCTTAAGTATCGACAAGCAGCTCCTATCGCATAACTGGATATTGCAGGAAAAAGGTCGCAGCTCTTGCAGACACCATTTCTTATTTCGAAAGCATTTGCCATTTTTCCATACACAAAAATATGTGTTGAAATTTATTGGTAAATGCCTTTATGAATCATTTTTCAAATACAACAATACAACAGTAAACAGTATATAAATAAAAAGTAAATTCTTCGTTTTTCAATTAAAAAAACCTTGAAAAATTTTGTTTTGCATCGCTTGCATTCATATGATTTTGAGCATTAAAATATTTACAACTTGGAGCAGGAATCTAAATTAATTCTCTAAGCGAGATAAGAAAACACTGAAAAATAATAATAAAAATCAGATAAAGAGGGATTATTTACTTCACAAATTAACTATCAGTTTTGTTAAAGTTCACCTCTGACGTGGTGACCACCAACTTTGGGATTTCGCCAACAATAATAGTTGGAATTGAACGAGTTCTTTGGAGATCAGTGATCTTTAACGCATTAGCGTTTAAAACAGAACTATTATATAGCTTCGAATTAGATTCATCGTCCTTAAAGCTTCAATTCAATTAAATATCGGCAAAAAAAATTTTAAAATATTTTAATATCCAAAATTGAAAATTTAGCTTTGTTACTCAAAAAACATAGAAGTTCATTTTGATGGTGCGAAAAATATATTCACACAATTTATTTTTTATAGATCTTTTTCAATAAAAAAATAAATTAAAGTTAATTCACAAAGAACCTGTTATCATCAGAATAGATGAAAACTTGAAAAAAATAGTAGAATAAATACTTTAATTCGGTTAATAATAATACTTTAGAATACTTATAACGCAAAAACTGATGTTTATTACAAGCTATTCAAAAAAATATACTTGCTTATCAAGAGATTTTGAGGTTAACAATTTCCGCCGCATAATAGTGCATGATAAACGATCAGCTGAACTTGGTTCCAAGTTTATCTTATTTCTATCACAACTTGGTGGTGAGGATGAGCTTGGACTGGAAGAGCTTTGTCTACGCAATGCAACAGATTCAGCAACGCGACGTTCACTCAATAATTCTGTTCTAACGTTTATTGGAGTAGGCTTAGATCGCGTTCGCATTTCTCTTAAAAAGTTAGTTAGATAGAGGTATGGCATAACTCTGAAGTACTGAACCAGAATATGGTCGACTGTCAAAGAATTATGCCTCACAATTAATATAAACAATTAATTACGCCACAATTATTTAAGTATATTATCAAATTTAGATTGCACAGGTTTTTAATGAAATGATTAATGAAAAAAAAAACAACTAAACACCGAAAAGTTGCGCATTCACTTTTCAGAGGTCTACTTAAAACAAGCATATTACTTCCGACACGACATGCAGCATGGCTCCATAGATGAGGAGCAGACATCTTTGGATTTGTTACCTGGAAATAGATCAACTTAATTTCGAGAAAGAAAAGAAAAATTTTAGAATAAATTCAAATTCGACTTGAAATTTATTGAAGTACATAATTTAAATTATGAAAATTTTATTAGCTGCGAATAATTGAGAATAAGATATATAATTTCTTCTGACAATATCTGTTTCCAATAATTTCGTCCGAAATTTAAAAACTTACTTTTATCTCTTGCCAAATCCAAGAAGTTGACAATGAAAGATCGAATGAAAGCATCCAACAGTCACTGTATATCATATTTGGACCACCACAACCTCCAAGAATAACCAAGTGATTTTCATCAAGCATTATTTGAGAATGCCCATAACGTGGAGCTGGACGACTGCTAAATAATAATAAATATAATTACATATCTGGAAAAAAAATATCTGAAATTTTTCATAGATCAAAGATTCATTTATTTTCATTTTTTTAAAAAAAAGAGAAATGAGTGGAATCAGCTGATAAAAAAAATAGTAGAACTACCCTTCTGCAATTTGCGGTTGCAACCACATTCGACCAGGAATATCAAGCACCCAAACTTCATTTGTAGAACAATTTCCCATTGATCCTCCAAAAACAACCATTGAATCACCAATAATAGAAGCTGTATGACTGGCCAATTTTGGAACCGAATTTTCAGTAATAAGCTTAAATTATAAATCTGTGATTAAAAATTATAAAATTATGAAATCATGGAAGAAAAAATAAAAGAAAAATAAAATCATAATATACAATTATTATCTTAACAACCAAAATTAATGAAAGTAGAATGACTCAGGTGAGTCACTGCTCTCATTTCGCAGCGCCGATCCTGACGTTGTACTCCCAGCCGGAGCAAATCACTAAGTGACTAAATGGCAAAAATTAGTCACGGTCGATTAAGATCAGTAGGGTGATCCTAACCAGAAATGGTAAACGGAAAAAAAGCCAACATTAATTACGACTGAATGTGGCTATAAAAATTGTGCACAGTTTCATTTTTTGAAGCGTTTTTTGCGATTTTGGCTAAAAAATGATCAAATGTTTCAAATGTTGCAAACCTCGACCCAGTGGTTCTTTTCAGTATCAAAAAGATGCAATTCATTGTAAAATGATGATGTCTGATGAATTGGATTTGGCGACGATTTCGAAAATCCACCAAAGAGAAGCAAATTATCTTTATATGCAAGTAATGTTGCCAAAGCTTTTGGGCTAGGAAATGGTGGTTTTTTAATTAGCACTCTTGACCATGTATATCTACTCTTAAAAAAACTCCATAAATCACTTTAAATAACTTGACTACTTCTTCAAAAAAATTGTGAATTAAAAAATCGAATTTCCCCACTAACAAGATCGAATGCCCATAAATCATTAAATGCTGTATATGCAGCTGTACATCCACCAAATATGTACATCATTTTGCTTTTGGCATGATAGCACGAAGACTGCGAACAACGTTCAGCAAGAAATGGCCCTGTATGAAGATCTGGTTCATAGACGCTCCTGAACATTTCATAAATAATTTGAGAAATGTGCAGAAACTTCTATTTTAAATGTTTCTCATCAACTTTATCATTATTACAATGTTATTTTATTTCAAAAAATAAATCATGATTAAACTAACCGAAAAGCAAAATTCTTTGTTCGATTTTTTCTCTTAAACACACTTCAAAAAATATTAAATGAATAGCTAAATTTTAGAAAAAAAATAAATATTTAGTATTTTAGTTCGAAATAATTTCGGCTCTTCCAATTTATAAGAAATTAAGAAAAAAAAATAACCATTTAAACTGGTTACATCGATCGAAAACTTTTTTCAGCGAAACAACTGTTTTTACTGAAATCTCATACCAGTAGCGGCAAACAAGTTGGATAGCGTCAAAGTCATCATAAGGATTTAATAACGAAAATATATATTTTAGTATGAAACTTGGTAAATCATTTATATGGATAATACAACGAGGATTTACTACCTTTGACATAACTGAAAAATGAAAGAATTTTAAAAACCGAAAAGATTGAAAATGAGAAATCAAAAGGTTGAAAATCAGAGAATGAACCGAACAAACCGACTACGATTAGAGCAAATATAATATGGGAAAAATTTAAATTTAAAAAATTTAAAAAAAATAATTTAAAAAAATTTAAAAAAAAATTATTTTATAATAATAAAGATTTGGTGCACATTTGATAATAATTACCAATTTCAACTGATGATTTAATTATAACTGCCATTTGAATTCCTCATTTCTTCATTTATTTCCATTTACTTTTTTTAAGGATAAAATGTCTCAATGGGCTGTTGCTCAATTCTGAGGGCTGATGCTGAGGCTGAGGTTCTATTTCCCACAGGAGTAAACCTATCCAAGAATCCGAGTGATGCTGGCGACTCACCTGTACTTCTATCGCCAAGGGAATTTGTCCAATGCGGCAAGCCAGCGGAGCGAGTTTGACCAGAAATGATGAGGACTCTTTAAAAAAAAAAAATATGGAAAAAATAAGTCTTTTCTTTAACCAAAAAATTTCCGTGCCACGGTTTTTCAAAATTTTATAGAATTTTTCTTCAAATTTCTTATTTTTTATTTGTTGGAGTTTCCGTTTGTTAAAGTATTCGTTTCAGCAAATTTGTGCCACCAATTAAACCAATTAACTGCAATCAAAAAAATCTTTTATATTTGAAAACTAATAAAATAGTCAACTGATTGTCTACAAATATAAACATTTTAGTAGTTATAGATTACCATTTCTGATTTTATAGGTCCGCTGGCAGTTTACAAGAAAATTTTTGGAGAGAAGTCTGCCAAAAAATTGCCTAGCAAAAGAATTGAGGTAGGTCGCAAGAAAAAAACCAGATTAATAACAGTCTTACCTATCGTACTCTTGCTAAGACATGATCTGGCTTTCAACAAGTTAATGGATGGCTGAACGGTGTGTATCTTCTACCATGTATTCTTCAGTAATACGTCACAGGTTTTATGAAACGAAGTAAAGTCTGGCTGGTACTGCAAATTTACCCACCTAGTAGGGGGTCCTAACCTGGCAGTCAACGGGAACAGAAGAAAATAGAATACTAGAACGAATTTGCCCTCAAAATTTCATCCAAACTAACAATCCGATAACCCGACTGTAAAACTAGGACAAGAAAAAAGACTAACTTATCCACGCCACAAAACTTTTTGCGACTGATCTTTAATAATTTGCAGCCGCCTGTGATCTGCAAATTAGTTAAACATTATAGAAATGTAGTGCTTAATTTTGGCGGTCGTGTTAAGGCTGTTTCGTTTTTTCCTTATTTTTTATGGCTCTTTGTTTTTTACTCGCAATTTGCGTTCAGCAATTCTTAATTTCCAGTGATTTATTCATTTTATTTCTGTAGAAAACTTAAATTCAAATTTGGAAGTGCTTCCCTCGTTCCTAATTCGCTTTATTTTCATTTTATTTTTTTGGCTTATTCCGACTTAAATCGTTTCGGCTTATTCATTTTACTCGTTTGCACTTCTATCGCCAAGTGACTCCCGCAAACTCCGATTTCAGCAGTGCGATCGGAAGCGCTGGCGCGTTAGGATTGCTGCGAATTGTAACTACTGTAAATTTCGTGCTGTGCACTTTGTTGATTAAAATCTCCTTTAGGAAAATAGCAGAGATCCACAGAAAACGAGAGTTCGATTCGTTTTTTAAATCGTCTTTTATCACTCACTTATCACTTGTCGACTGCAAACGGAAATTATTTTCTTATGTGTTCATTCTTGCATAGTAATTATTTAATTCCGCTTGTTGACTGAGTGAGTGCTTCAAGCGTCAAGCGGTTATTTAGAAGGACTGTACGGCGTCCGGTGGCATTATCATTTAAATTAGCATAATGAAAAGTAGAAGGGAGTTAATCAAAATGAAGAACTGGTCAGAGTTGTATAGAAACTGGTGACTGGTGAATTCTTAGATTCTAGACATGAAATTCAATAAAGGAAGGTTTGATTTCATATAATTATGAATTTCGCACTTTGTATGATTAATAAAGATGTGAATTTTTTGCTTCTTCAAGTTTAAAAATTAATTTTAGAAAAGAAACAATATCAAGTGGAACTGAGAGACCGTTGCCATTCCAATATTTTTGGAAGAAGCACTTGGTTAATTTCAGAGTAAGCTTTCCAATGACTTCTTTTAAGCATTTTTTTATTATTTATTTTGTTGTTTGTTTTGATTTAAACTATAAGCTAAGAGAAATGAAAGAAATGGTAAATTTTTCTAAAAGCACTGTTCTCGTTTCGAATCAAGAAATATTACAGATGCCTCCATCTAGTTCGGATGGTTCATTTATATCAAGTTCCAGTTCTGATTATGGTGAATCCAGTAATTTGAGTGGTTCAAATGATGAACCGTATTTCCGTGTTTCTCTATGCGCTTGTCAGGTAAAATTTATGTGGAGCTTCAAAAGTTAAATTTAATTTTTAGTTTTTATTTAGGTGTAAGTTTTCGTGTTTTTATACTGCATATTTTTTTTAAGGGTGGGAGGAGGTATATGGAAGATAGAATTCAAGTAGAATGTGTGCATCATTCAGATGGTTCAATAGATTATTTATTTGTTGGTGTTTTTGATGGTCATGGCGGTGCTGAGGCAAGTGATCATGTTCGCAAAAATCTTTTACGCTATATCCAGTTGCAAGAAGGGTTCAATGGGAGCGATGATGAAATGAAAGAAGCTATAAGGATGGGATATATACAGACTCATCTGTCGATGTTAGATGTTATTGGTAAGCCCACTTGAAATTTTTTCTTTTTTTTTCTTGATTTTCTTAATGAATTTTAGATGATTGGTCATATACGAATTCTGGTTACAAAAGTACGGCGGGCACCACAGCTACATGTGCTTTTTTTCGCCGCGGAAAACTTTTCACTGGTCATGTCGGTGATTCAGTTATTGTTGGCTGTTATAAGAAAGGTTTTCTATTATAGTTTTCTGCAGATAGCATAAATTGACAGTACAGTTCCATTTCAATTTTATATTTTACACATTTTCAGAAAATATGATCATTGGGAAAGCTTTGACAGTAGATCACAAACCTGATAACATAATAGAGAAGGATAGAATAATCAAAGCTGGGGGTAAAATCATGAAGAAATCAGGTATTCATCGCGTCGTGTGGAAAAGGCCATTGCATGGGCATAATGGGCCAATTCAGTCGTCTACACCTATGGAACACGTCCCGTTTTTAGCTGTAGCTCGAGCTTTAGGTATTGCTTATTTCTAAATACTGAAATTTCAATTCAACACTAGAAGAATCAAAATTTTTTCGTTTTCCGGGATCAATAGAATTTTTATAAAATTTTTATATAATTTTTTCTAAAATTTTTCGACCAGTATTTTTTTATACTTTAAATTATTTTGCTAATCGTATGTTGTGAAATAGGTGATTTATGGTCTTATAATGCGGTTACAAAAAAATATATTGTTAGTCCTGAACCCGACACCGATATTTATTCTTTGGAGCCGGATCTAAAAAGTGTGGTTCTTGGATCGGATGGCCTAATCAATGTCCTTCAACCTCAGCAGATTGCACATATCGTCTTACAGCACGATACATTCAATGGAACAAGGGTATATTGATTGTGATTTCTTCAACTTTTATCATTATTTTCCACTTTTAAAATCATATTAATTTTAGTCGCAATATGTCACTAATCACTCGATGTGGTTGCTTCATTATGCCCTTCAAGGATGGAAAACTTTTCGGGCTGACAACATTTCAATTATTACAGTATAATTTTGGTATTATGGTATCATTGGCCTTCTTGTTAACTTCATTTTATCATAGTATTTTTATCAATTATAGGTCATAATAACTATTATGATTTATATCATAACATATGCTATTAATTTTTATATTAATTTTTAATTTATTTTTTGAATGCAAAAGGCACTTTAATCCGACCAATTTGTGATTTTTCATTGTATTTTACAATCCTAATTTTTAAGCAGTTTTTTCATACTTCACATGCCATTTTTAGGTGATGCTAGACAATTTCGATATTCTTGGTAATAAAGTTAATATATTGGAAAGCGGTTCTTTTTTGAATTTAGAACAGGCTTTTACTCCTCATTTAAATTCACTGATGATTATCGGGCCAGAAGGATATCGTTTGGTATCAACTAATCCTGTTGAACTAATTTATTATGGAATTTTGGACTCCTTTGTTGCAGAACGTAAGTAACGTAGCAAATTTTTGTGGAAAGTAGTTTTTTTTTGAGATCTGTCCTAAATTTTCTCAATCTTGCTACAGAATTAGTTTCTCAAAGGTTTTTCTGGAAAATAATGTTGTAATATAGTATAAATATAATGTAGATTTCTGAGTTATATCTCAGTTTCTAGTGTATGGCCAAAGATTTGTGAATAAAAAAGAGGAAATCTCATGAAATATAAGGAGTGTCGATTCTATTAATTCTTATTTTTACAGTAACCTTAATTTTTTAAAGCTTGTTATAATGGACCTGGTTTGGTTAATTATGAAAAACGAGATCTACCGGAGACTTTACATCTTTCTCTTTGCAAATTACTTCCAGTATTTCCTATATCGCAAGCTTCAACAGTTGAAAGCTCGGGGTTGCATTATGCATGTGAAAATTCTCATTATTTTGGAAGTGGATCAGCGGAAATTTGCGCTTTCGCGCCACAGCAATCTATCATGTAAGTTATCAGACGGTAGAAATATTTGTATATATATATATATATATATATATATATTTATGTATATTTTATATTTTTATTTGAAATATTGTGTTGAAATTTCTTTTAAGAAATGTTATCAAGCAATATACTCCTTTAAGAGATTTTTGTGCAATGTTTTGTACGATATTTTGTACAATGCATGCTAATTCATAAAATGGGCGAAATAGCTGTACATACTATTACGAAAATTATTTTACTTTGCATCTTTAGTCACAGATTTCCGAAATTGGCTATCACAAATCACGATATTTCACAATACAGTGAAAGACGTGAACGTTCAACTAGTAGCTGTGAAAAAAATGAAGAGGTTCCTATTTTTATTAATTCAGGATAATTTACAAATGATAATTTGATATTTTCTGGGTAAATTTTTTTTTTCTATATTTGACATTTGCATATTTTTGACAAGGAATTCAATGTTTCATTTCATTCTCTTACATTCTCTTCAGTTTACATTCTCATTGCATTCTCTTCAGCTTCAGGTAGCTCCTAATCTCATTGCAGACAACGAATCTGAAACCCATTTTTCTATATCAGGTTATTTAACAATCTTCGATAAATCTATTAATTTATGTTATTTAATGATTTATATAAAAATGCAAAAAAAATACTTTTCCCTCACCTTCCTGTGGGTCATCATTCTTATTCTCAGGTCCTTTGCCAGAGGCTTAGGAGATTGAGGGTTTTACGCAATGTCTTGGCTGTTCTTAATAGTACGCCCTTCTGAAAGATCTTTATATCGTTTGCTTAACCCATTTTTCTGCTTAGAGATTGATTGCAGTTATAAGTGCTCCATTTGGATTACTTTTATGGCATGGATTTTATTCTTCCCATTGAGCTGGCTCTTTATCTCGTCCTTTGTTGCAATCTTCCTTGTCTCCTCATCGTTATTACCATTTGACTAGGAGATACCAAAGTACTTGTGGTTAGCATATATGTCTTGATGGCAGGTCCACTCCATTAGTCATTAACTATTTTTCCTCTGCCATCTGGCAACATTTCTCTAACCTGAATAACATCCCAATGTAGATTCGAGTTAGATGGATGGATGAATCAATCTCTCGTTCACTTTTTGCAAATAATTTGATATCATCCATAAGAGAAGATGGCTGATGGTTGCTCCGGTCTTGAATTTGTATCCATATTTGCTTCTGGTGATTACTAACTGAGAAGGTCTAAATGAAGATTTAGACCCATGTAGAACAATAGAGCCAGTGGAAAAAGGAAACAATGCATCGTCTTGGTATGTGCACTTGATGGCTACTTCTGCAAGCTATTTTCCGAGCAGCTGGTTTCTGGAGCCTTTTTTGTTGTTCCCAATGCCTTTCTGAATTCATTCTGGTTCATATAATCATGAATCTTGATGGTTATGATGCTGGATAGGGCTTTTGGATGGTGTTGTTCCCTTATGAGGGCTATTCATAATATCGTCTTTCTCTATGTTAAGTAATTTCGGTGAGAGCCTACCACAAACAACTGGTTCATCTGCGCTGTTAGGTGCTCATGAACTGCTGTTAGCTCCTTTAACCAGTAGTTATCAATCATATTCGGATCAGGTGCTGTCCAACTTTTCATATTTTTTTTTAGTCGATGTTGGATATAAGCAGTTATGATGGTATTATATTTGCATGTGTATATATGTTTATATTATTTATATTATTTGAAGCCTGTAAAGAACTAAGTCGAAATTATAAAGTAAAATCTAGGAAATATACTTTTTTCATTTCTTTTTTACTCGGCCTTTATGTCTACACATTGAAGTTTAAAATTAGTTGCAGAACTAAATAGAGTGTAGCGCTATTTCTACCTTTTTTACAGCTATTCGTGCTTAAGACTTATTTTCTATTCAGTCTTCGCTAATGTTAATCTATGCATCAAAAACCTTAAAATTACAGCCATCGTTTGTGTTTGTGTATATTCTGAATGCAAAAAAAGCGTTTACAATTTTAAGTTGAATCAACTGAGTCAACTGAGTACTTGGAAATAAAATATATCATAGGGAGGCCCCTTATATTTTCATTTTTGTGATATATAATAGTAATTAAGTTGAATTTTATTTTTCTTTCAAAATATATTAAATATTTTTGTTAACTGAAATCTTAAAATTCCTTATTTCATTCCAGAAGAGAGGTTACAACGGTTAAATTGGCCGCTTGATTCTCAAGTTCATGGTCAAAGCACCAAAATAAAAAATTTATCTGATCAAAAGTCTGCTTTTCTTCACAGCTCAGTCGACGCAATGAATGTTGAAAATTTGCAGTGGTATTCTGAAGATGACGAGATGGAATCTAAGTACGTAAAATCTTTTCCAAAAACACCAGAATTTTCTGCAGGTGATTAATTTATTAATTTATAACTTATAAAAGCGAAAAAAAAATTTATATCCCTTCTTTCAAAATTTCAGAAAAGTTCTATTTAAGTTAAGAATTTTTTTTGCATAATCTTCAAAAATGGTGTAAAATTTAAGTATTTTAGTTTTTAATATGTAGGATTTGTCTGGATAATAAGATGTGAAATTAAAATTATTATTGGTTATTATTGTCAGGTTCTGCATCAGCGTTATCACCTTCTTTAATGCTTCAAGCATATCGTGATTCGGATATAATTTATTCTAAAACATTGAGCAACGAAGTACGTCGTGATTCAATCCTGTATAATATTCGATCAAGGCGTACTCAGATTTCTTTTTCCAACTATATTTCCGATGAAAAAGGTCATTTTTTTTCATTTTATTTTATCAGTAATAATGGCAGTCTTGGCAGATCTCTCGATATTTCTAATTATATACTTCTTCGATTTATGTCGTACTGCTTTCATTTCTGCAGTCCATCAGTAATTCTTTAGCCTGGGCTGGACTTTAGTCTTCTCAAAATATAAGGCGTTTTTGAGCGTGTTTTCAGGACACACACAAAAACAACAAAATTTTTTCATAAAATTTATAAAAATTTATAAAAATTATAAAATTTACTAAGGCTTGAAATAAAATATTTCATTCATCTTTTTTTTTTCAGGTACTTTAAAAAGCTCTTGTCCTATTCCGAATGGAAATCGAAAACGAGTACATTCGGATATTTCTGATAATGAAAGTGAAAAGATAGAAGAAGAAGGCGAGCCTGCACTAAAGCGATCTCGTTTATGGTCTTTCTTCTCTAGTTTATGGAATTGGCGATTTCCATTTTAAACTGAAGTGTTTTAATATCCTTATTTTTCTAACTAATTGCATAACTGCCTTTATCAGTTAAAGCTGATACTGATTAGTTTGACCATTTTTGACCATTTTTGTTTATTTACTTCTTTCTATTCAATAGAATTGGAAAATAAAATTAAATGATTTTTTATACCATTGACAGAAATTATCTTTACTTCTTTTTAAAAAACTTTCTGTTTTTTAATTTTTAGATTTTTTAAAGATATTTTTGCAAAAAAGAATATTCAACAAATATTTTTTTTGGAAAACTTTAACGGCAATAAAATAAAACCTGGCGGTCATTCAATCATTGCCTTAATTATTCTAATTATTTTGGTACTTAAATAACTTCCTTTTCAGTTGGTATTAGAATTTTTAATTGTCTAATTTTGATATTCTAATTTTTGTTCGTTATTGTTATAAATCTGGTTGTTCCATATTATTCCAAACAAGATTATTTATATAATTTTTTTCACTTGGCTTTGTATTTTCGAATTTTCTTATTTTTATTTTCATATTTTTCTTTCAATTTTTCTCAGATTTTTTTTAGAAACTTGAATGCTGTAATAAGAAGTTTGAATTTGAATTCATAATTTTGAAAGGACACATTTTTCCTAGAATATTTCTCGAAATTAGTGAAGATTTTATTGTGCGGTTTTGAAATAGGAAAATTCGAAAATATATATTACTAGTTGAACCTGTAGTGTTAAAAATTGGAAATTAGATTCATACTCTTTCAATATTTATTCGAATTTTCATTTCTAAATTTTTTAAAATACTTCCAAAATATATGTATGTACTTTTTTGTTTGTGTTTCATATATATATTTTCGTTTTTATCTTGTCATATCTTACTTAATCCAAATTTGGATTTCTCACATCGGTTTGAAGCTTTACAGTTGCTATTATCAGCCTTGGAAATTAAAATTTATCAATTACAGCGTATAAGATAAGCGAAAAATGAATTTTCTCTATAATTTTCTAAACAGATCTATTGTTTTCTATAGATAGGACATAATTTTTTACAAATGCAAATGCATTTTTCCGAGGAATTATTTTTGTTTTGATTTGTTTTAATAAATGATTTTTAATATCCATCCTTACCCTTTTTTTGTGCTTTTTACTTGTTCTACTCGTCCGGCTGGAAATCATTCATCACACTGAGGTGGATATTATCGGTATATTATTTTTCCATAATTTCGCTTTTCAATTAATTTTTTCGATAAAAATTTCTGGTTTTATAATTCAATTGCTGTTGGTTTCAAAGTTATAAGATATACTTCTATTTTATAACGTGAAATATCCATTTGTGCTGCAATGATTGTTTACAGCTTTTCCTTAAGCCATGGTTCAGCTTCGTCAACAGAATTGAAAATAATCAAATTGCCACAGTTGGGTAACATTTTAGCATCTTTTATCCAATATTTTGCGACTCCATCAAGAAGTGGAAAAGCCCATTCGGTTTCGATTGCTGTATTGTGCGCACATATAGCTCCATTCAAGCACAATGCAATATCTGCTCGAACCAGTCGGTTGCAATTCTTTATTAAATAAAGCTGTTGATAGCTATAAATTTTTCAACATTTATGAGCACAAGTAAAAATAAGTGCAGTGAGTGCAATATTATAGCAGAGTTGCAGCACGCATTCTTATGAGTAAGATTCTTGCTGTACACGGGGATTGATTGGCTAAATTTTGAGTAAATTTTTATGCGTTTGTTCCCGTCCTAAAAACTCCATATGGTACTCTGGATTCTGTTCACTATTGCTTTTGTCTACGAGTAGCTTTTCTAGCTACTCGAAAAGCAATCATTCGAATCACCTAAATTGATAATGGGTGTTCCTAGAAATAGAAAACTGTGAATTTATGATTTATCGCAGTGAAATCAACAAAATGATTAATTATTTTGTATTTATACAGTTTTATTAAAAATTTTATAAGTGCACAATTTTTTTCAATTTTTTATGAGTCCTCACTATTACTGGTTAAACTCGCTCTGCTGACTTGTGGCACTACATGAATATGCCAAGAAGTTCCCTGACGACAAAAATATAGCGAGTAGCCAGCATCACCTGGATTCTTGGACTTACTCTTGCGGTGAGTAGAACCTCAGCGCTCCGTATTGAGAAATAACCCACTGAGCCATTCTATTCCAATTTTTAGTTATTTTGAAATGAGAATTACTTGTAATGTGTGCGAAGAATGAATGAATGAAGAAGAAATATTACAAGGGGATAATTGATGTAAGGAAATGATAAATGATAACCTGAAAAAATATGTCACCACTTTTGGCATAAAAAACTTAAATCTTTGGATATTTTAAATCTTTGGGCGATTTTGTAAGTAAATTTGTTCTTGAAGTTAAAAGAAATATTTACCGAAAGAGCAAGGGGAAATATGGAATTGAGGTCATTTATTGAAAAAAATTAAGTATTTATGGTTTCTGATTTTCTGCACTTAAGAAAATAATTTTGCGTGAAAAATTGAAAAAATTCCTTCATATTTAATTGGTATAATTGGTACTAAAAATATAAAGAAATCACCGAAAAGTGTTGGATGTCCGACGACCCGATCGGTAATGCCTTCAATGAAAAGTACGATTACTAAAAATGCGTAGAATGCAATTGCAGTCAAGGTTATCAGCAAAGAACTGCGTTGATTTGTGAAGTGTTCTGTTTGTCGAGCTATTTTCAACGATGAATTTACATTATATAAGTCCTAAAAATAAGAAAGGTTCGAGCTTTTTGTCATAATGTGGTATTCATTCCATTCGTTTGGTTCAAATTCCCTTCTTTCTATTTTTATTGATAAATACAAATAAAATTTGGAATTTTTCGTTACAAAAAATTGCTCGAAAAATTTCTTTGGATTATAGGAGCCTCTTCTTTTAAAATCCAAAGAATTCCTTCAAATAAAAATTTAATTATGAATATTTTTAGGGAATTTTTTTTTTAGAAAAGTGTTATCAGTTTATTCTGTATAACTTATTCTATATAACTTGTTTATTCTATATAACTTATAATTTTACCTGAAAATATGGGTAAACGATAGCAGCGGATGCAATGGCTATAAGCATATATGCGCCTAACAGCACGGCTTTATTGGCATCTGCTGCATATGGCCAAAACAATTCTCGAACAAGAAATAATATTCCAGGGCCAATGCCTATACGATGTCCACTTATTAATCTAAACAAAAATTTAGTAGTTCTCAAGTTGAAGAACTTTTAATTTTAAAAAATATGTTAGAAGTAAAATATGTTAGAAGTTTTTTAATATGAATTAGTGAAATTAAAAAGGAAAATTTTATCTTTTTTTATAATTTATAATTTTAGCAAAAAGTCCGAAAAAGAATTCTGGATTAAAATTTAGTTTATGTAATTAAGTGAAATTCGTGATAACGAGAGAAGCTTCAGTCGAACTAACTTCCTAATCGTACATTTCCAAAAAAACATAAGCATAAGTGATTCCAATTTATGAGATGCCAAGCGAACAAGAAGAAACAAGGAAAAGGCAGCTAATGCCTTTCGTTCAGCCAAGCAATACCTTTCACCTGAAAATTTCCATTAAGAAATTAAGTTTAGTTATGAAATTGTCACTTCATTGATCAAAAAATTACATTACTGAAGTACTGAAGTTTCATGATGTTTTTCTTGTTCTTGCTGCGACAACATTTTTTTTTCGTATTGTTTTTTCCCTAACACCATTTCTGGTGGGCTCGCTGGCTATTAGGGTCACATCGTTAAAGCGAAATTTGTGGACCAAATGCAGTTTAGTCCGCAGTACCATTTCGTCTTTTTTTATCTCTTTATTAAATATTAAAAATTTCAAGTATCAAGGAAAGAGATCATATTATTATTTCAGTAGTAATAATAATAATAATAACAGTAAATGATAATAATAACCTCCTAATAGATTAAAAATCGTTTGACGGCCTGATGCAATATTTCCTGAATGAAAGGTTTCGCCATTTTTGCACATCCTAAATTTAATATTAAATGTTGAAAATATATTAATTTAATATTAAAAAATTGCATCCAAATAATTTTTTGCATTTTTATAATTGTGATAACTGCTAGTGAATTATAATCCCAACCGTTCAATGCTGAATTCAATTTCTTTGTATATAAGCATATTCGCAAATAAAATTATAGGAACAAGAAGAGCGAATAAAGTTTTATATAAATTGCGATAACTCATCTGACTCAAGCAGATTCAGAAAGAACTTGAACCTTATATTAATCTGAAAAATATATAAACATAATTAGTGGTAATCTATTATATTTCAGATGCAAAAATTCGAAGTGGAATATCTCAAAATAACATTTGATGAAGACGAAATAAGCTAAGGTAAGATAGGTGCAGTATGGGGTTTGATCAGGCGAGAACATAATCCTAATTTTAGATTTACCGCTTTCGAAGGACAAGAATTAAGGACTATAATAGTTGATGTTAGTTGAAGAAACATATCTGCTCTTACATTTTGTGTTCAAGGTTCTTAATGTAGTAACATCAAAAATGAAGTTTTTTCTTCAGATGGCACCATTGTTGATTCGGCTGGGCAACTCAATCGAAGCAATGGTCTATTCAGCCATGATGTTAATAAGAACCATTTAGGTTGGATAATTCGCGATTTTTCATTCATTAAAATCGTTCGGTTTTGACAAATGTAATGAGCTGATCAGCTGATCCTATAAGCATTAGTGAATTTTACTGAAAAATTAAGCAAAAATTTTCAGCATATTTCGAACAGAGTATTACATCATTATTTTCATTTCTTTATTACAGCTTAAAAGAATTCAATGTTATGTCGATGGAGAAGTTCGGAGCTTTCTGAAGAGATGGATTCATCCTAGTAGTCTTCTTCTTCTAATAGCTCTCGCCATTACTGGTTAAATTGGTTCCGTTGGCTACAAGAGTAAGACATCTCCAAGGTGCTCGGTCCGACGCCATCGATAATAGTAATAGAAGCCATTTCTTTTTCCATCGTCTAATCATATATCGCTGGTCCCTCTATATGTCCAAAATCCTTCCTGACTCTATCAGTCCATGTCTTGATTGACCCTCCTCGCTTTTGCTGCTAACCATCACAAGCTTCGGCAACTAACGAAATATGCATTAACTCCTGGGTGGTGGACGACGCAGAACGTGCCCTAACCAGCGAAGGCGACGCTCTTTGATATTATTAATACAGGTTGTATTTGAGCGAGAACATTCATATGCGATTTCATTATAGTAGTGGAGCCAAACAAATTTTCAGTGTCGAAAATTACTAGAAAGAAAAGAATGAGAAAATGAGAATGAGGTGCATCGTCGATGTTACCGATAAATTACTAAGTTAATGAATAAAAAAGAATTATTGCCGATGTCGAAGAAAAAAGATAAGTAAAAGTAAGGTTCGGCTTATTGCTCGAATATTTTTTTTAATTTTTGACTTATTCAAATTTGAGTTCATGTGAATCGATTTTAAATTTATTTTACAAATTCAATTATAAAATCAATTTATTTCCATGTTTAAATTAATTTTGAATTGCTTTTTTTCATTTCTGCTTTCTTATTTTTGAAAAATCCCAAAATTCGCTCGCAATTACTTAACTCAAGTGGTTTATTATGGTTTACTATTTTATACGCATAAGTTAGGTGAGATTATCGTGTTGGGAGGCAAGGAGTCGCCGCTCCTATAGGAGTAAATATCCCTGAGTGGTGCCAGCAATCCTCACCTGTCGCTAAGTTTGGCGAAAAATCTTAACTGAACTAATAGTCTATGGAGCGAGTCCAACCAGAAATAGGAAACATCGTCAACTTATATATTATTTTTTAACAGCTTGATCGACTCATTTGTTCAATCTAAAAGTGTTTCTCAAGCTAATTTTGGTTATTGTTTTCATTAATTTTTCTACAATTTTTAAAAAATTTTCAAAGTGAATGCAAATCTTATCCATTCTTAATTATTCTCTGTATTTATTATTTATTGTTTGCAAAAATGCCGAATAAGTGAAAAATAAAAGGTTTTTACATTCTTAATTATTCTATGTATTTATTACATCGCGGAATGGCCAAAGTAAAAGCAACTTTTAAATTCTCTCTTCAGTTTCGTAAACCTTTCGAGGCCATTTTTGGTTTTTTTTTAGATTTTTTTTTAGCCACCAAAGATTACTGTGTAGCGGTTTCTTTAGCCTTTCTTTTTCTGTATTTCATCATATAATTATTTGAAATTATTCTTGATATAAGGTGAAAGGTTCTGGTTTGAAAAAGCGTTCATGTCCCTCACCCCAATACTTTCAGTTTGGTGGTGCATGGCAGGAGCAGAAAAATTAAGTCCGATAAAACGATTTCTCGGTTTGAGAAGAGAATAAATGAACTCTCGATGCAAGTTAAACAGTTCCTTGCTAAAGGAGATGAGCAACTGTCCATCGAGTATACTCCTTTTGACAGTTCTTATTACTACTGGTTAGGCTGGCTCCCCAGAATATGGCTGTTCCATCGGATGCCATGTGAGCAAATGCGATGAGATGTTGATCGTAGCAACGTGGAAGGGGCTCAGGACGCTTATGAACGACGCGAGTCATTCTTCACATATCCGAATATCGTATGAAAATCGCCTATTTGTCGAAAGTTTATCTTCCTCATTTCTAGCCTCTAACAGCCATTAAACAATCATTAACCTGGCTTAAAAAGTACTGAATATATCATTTTGCCACTTCGACTCGTAATGAAATGCCAATACAATAGTAAAATATTTAATAGTCGGTTAAAAAGTCTCGATCCGCTCTGATTTCTTGACAACTGTAGATTTATTTCATTAGACAATAAATCTGTTAAAACTATGTCGTTCTGAAACAACAGTAAATTGTTCTACAACGACTCAACTTCTACAGTTGAGTCAAAGATCTCATAAATTCGATTTAAATAGACAACGAATCTTTTTGACAGCCAATATATTTCCATTGGGGCACTGTTTCCGATTTTGTTAACTGCTATAATTGCACACTGTAAAGGGCGATACTTGCTAGCTGTGCAGGTGAGATTTCTTAAAACCAAATCGTAGACTATCGATTATTTGCCCAATGTATATTTGGCATCTACTTTTTCGAATATAAATCTACGATAGCGAACTACCGTCGCTGAAGCATCATCACTAGCAAGTAACATGATATTTTTAAAATTTCATTTTCTCCAAAAAAGCTTGACACTCTTGCACTATAAGAAATGAGGCTCTTCTTTAGTTATTAATTTTTTATCGAATAAAAAATTTTCTTGTCAATTTTTTTCATCTTTTATAAATCGAAATGATAAAATGGAAATAGATTCATCAATCCTTAATGAAAAATGAGTTGTTTTTAAAAATTTTATCAATCCATTTCTGCACTATCGTTTTATCCTTATTTATATACTTAATGAATATTTTTCTATTATTTTATTCCGTTCTGTGAGAATAATTCATATTGCATAAAATTTATGAGGAAAATATCGTCGATTATTTTATCGTAAGCCTCGATTGTTTCGTTGTTTTGAATAATATAAAAAACAAATCACTGGTAATAAAATGACAATTTTTCACACTCAACAATTGAAATTAAGCACAAATTTTTAGATATTTCTAGGCTCTTGCTTCATGCCTTTATTCTTTGCTTTCGTTTTTTCTCTATTATTTGCTTTGAACTTGCAAACAGTTGGTAACATTGATAATGCGATAACATTGATTTGCTAGAATTGATGAGAAGTTTCAAACATGAATTATGAATTGAATTTTCATTACTAATTGTGATTGGGCATTGGTTAGTCCAATAGCAGTTTTTGCTTTTCTAGGATATAACTGTTTCATTTTATTAATTTATGTAGATCATACTTTTAAAATAATTTAATTTAATTAAGGCGATGAAATTTTTTCCTTTATGTTTCGATTTGCATACAATTGTTTTAATCTAGTATTTATAAAACTTTTAATTGGATATGAATTTTGATAAATGATGATAAGAAATATGTAAATGGATTGTTCCTAAAATTTCAGTGATAAGATAACTCGAATCAGTAAGAACTGTAAGTGCCTTTGCTAAATCCTCGGATGAAATATATTAAAGAAAAATTTTTAAAAATTAAGAACCAATTTTTCTGCCTAATTTCTGCTACAAAAAAGCATTCATAGATTTTATGAAATTTTCTAAGTATTTTAAATAAGAAAGGAAAATGATTTATAAATGAAGGATTTCTTAAATTTGCCTTTTTTCTATCATTTCTTCACATTTTTAAATCAAAGGTCGCATGAAACCTTGTTTATTCGATGTTTAAATTGGCTTGATTTCTTCTTTTCCTAACACCGTAACGATCAGGCTGGCTCTGATAGTTGCAAGAGTAAGGCGTTTTCAAGCTCTTCGATCCAATACCCGGTAGTTCTAATAATAATAAAAGCCATTCCTTTTTCCGTCGTCTAAGACCATTTTTAGCTACTGTAGTTCAGGGTAATTTCGCTTGGCCATTTGGGAATAGAATGGAAAATATTTAAAGTCTGGCATTTTTTAGCCGATGAATCTGTCAAAATAGGTACTTTATCTACTTATAGTACATCTGCAAGGCGAAAAGATTTTCGTTTTATTAACATTAATTCTGAGCTCATTCTCGCTGCAATTGTTGACAGTTTGTTTGTATTATTATTTGCATATATATGACTACATATATAACTACCTGCAAAAAGGACTACTTCGTCAGCGTATTCATGATCTGTGATGTTACGCCATGGACTGATTTGCACACTTTTTGTGTGCAGACGAGCAATGTCTATTATCAAATCTATCGTATAGTTTGAAGGACGACCGATTCTTATTTCGAAGGAATCTGCCGATTCCCCATGTACACATATCTGCACAGATGTATACTGGTAAAATGCCTTTTTGAGTCGAATAGCCTACTTTGGAACATCCTCAAATTCCATCACTCTCCATAGGATCGTTCTATTTATTGAATCGAAATCAAAATCGATGGGACAAGATGATGAGGATTAAGCTGATTTGTTCGAAATTTAAAATATAAAGATATTATACCACTGTATAATCTTTCGTACTAATTAGGCAGCATTGTGATATGTAGCTAGTGACAAATAATGCGTATTTCCAGAATTTTAGAAGATCCAACGTCAATTCAAACGAAAAAACTTCAAAAAAAAATTTTATTTAAAATTAACTACATACTAGTACATATATCTTTAATCGATGAAAACTTCGGCAAGAAAAGAAAATTGAAAAGAGGAAGAAAAAGAAATATATAAACCACTGGGTATTTCATCTACTTCTAAAAATCTAGTGATAAACTAACAGTGTGGGAGGTCAAGCAAAGCTTCAACAGTTTCTTCTAAAAATACCAAAGCTTCGAAGTAATAATACTCTTAGTTGTAGTTACTTTCCTAATCTCATATTTGCAGTTCAAAAATTGCTGCCAAAGTGTTCTATCAGCACTCTTTTTTCCTTTAAAAAAATGGTAGAAGATGAACATATTTCAGAGAACGATAAGGATCTAAGGTTTGAAAATTTTTTCGTCAAGATTCGAAAAATCTTCAATCTTCGGTTCAATTATGCGTCTTAACGTATAATCACTTTGTAGAAAAAATAGTGATATAAATGTTTATAAATGTTTAATCATTTTTAAACCTAAACATTTGGATTTTTTTGTCGCTAGTTCATCGCTCTCATTCAAATCTAATCCTTCTAATATGGCTGAAGAAATTTTAGTGGATCCCTCCTATAACTTATTGTTTCAATATAATTCAATATATTTAAACCATAATACAATACAATGTAAGCAAAGATGTTGTAAAAAACAGAGATTAAAACAAAGGCAAAGAAAATAGATATATAAAATTCTACAGTGTCCGAAATGAAAATGTCCGAATGCACAACGATGCGAGAACTGCCATTGGCATGCGTATAAGAAATAGAGAATCCTTGTCGCCGACTGGCGAAAATAGTTGCAAATACGACTTGATCACTAATTTAATGGAGCACCTCTAAATGCATATGGCTATATAACACCAAGAATTTGAATCGCGAAAGATTAACGATAAATATTAGCCGAAGAATGGCTATTTTACTTTACGATAAGGATCTAAGGTTTGAAAATTTTTTCGTCAAGATTCGAAAAACCTGAAATCTTCATTATAATCTTCATTATTATTAAATCTTCATTTATTTTGTCGTATATTATTTTTTTCTGTGATTAATGCTGTTATATATTGTTTGAGAATTAAAATAAAGGTTTAATTACATAAGTTTGAGGTTCGCAGCGAGAAAATCATTAGCAAAACGCTGGCCGCAGAAATTATAACATTAGGGAGAAGTAAAAGCTCCGCGTGGCAGAAAATTCGTTAAAACCAAAGAGAAAATGCAGTGGGGCGGATCCCAGAATGAATTTGGTAAAGCCAGATTTTAGAAGTGGAATCGCCGCATTCCCAAATTTTCGTATTGCTAAGTTTTCTATCCATGGTACGTCGGTCGGGAATCGAACTCGGGCTGGCCGCGTGGCAGGAGAGCATTCTACCACTGAACTACGCAATAGCAAAGTAACTACTCAATAACAAAGGAATGGCAACTAATATCAATACACATAGATCGTCCAATAGAGTGCATAAAGAATGAATGCAAAAAAGAAATTCACTGCTTTATAGACGCATCGGGGAAAGCTTACGCCGCCGTAGCCTACATAATTGTTATTAAAGAATATCGTCAGATAAAATTTTTGAAGGCGAAATCGAGTGGCACCACTTAAAGGAACTTCCATTCCAAGATTAGAATTATTGACCGTCCTTATCGGCTGTAGACTCATTGATTTCATCGCTAGCCAAATTGGAGTTCATGTAGAAACACCACAATATCTGTGGTCTGATAGCAGAGCTGTCATTGACTGGATCAAAAACGACAAAAAAGAGCAGCAACGATTTGTCCAAAATCTTTTAGAAGAGATCAAAAGACACGTGTCTCAATTCGTTATGTCCCCTTAAAAGAAAATCTCTCAGATGGTGCTTCCTAGGGAATATTTACGAGGAAATTAAAGCTTTCTCCGTTGTGGTGGCAGGGTCCTGACTGGCTGAGTCAGGAAAAATAGCCAAAGAAGCCTCACAATGAAATCATCACCAAACCGTCACACTCTGGAGGTCATGTAATTCACATTTATAACCGGAAGTTACAAGCACAACAAGGAACATGTCGTAGCTTAGCAACCTTCATGGCGCTAAACAAGATTTGTCGCAGTTCCGGTCTCTAGAAACTATTGGAATCGGACACCTAATTGACTTGATTGACAATCGTTTAGAAGAGATCAAAAGACACCAACATGTGTCAATCCGTTGTTTCCTCAAAAGAAGCTCCCACAGATGACGCTTCAAGGAGAATATCTACGAGGGAATTAAAACTTTCTCCGTTGTGGTGGCAGGGTCTTGACTGGCTGAGTCAGGAAAAATAGCCAAAGAAGCCTCACAATGAAATCATCACCAAACCGTCACAACTTTCTCGAAAGGTAAGAAAGTTAAAAGTAAAACCATGAAAGAGATTAAAAGGATAAAAATGGTTGGTCATCTCGCTTCAGTAATTGGCGGAAATTAATCGGAACAGTCGTATGCGTAATAAAATTTGTAGTAAAAATATTAAAGAAGATTCGAAAGTTAGACCACATCAGGCACAGGAGCTCAAATATGAATCTTCTGGCAAAAAACATGGTTAATTCGTCAATCTCAGTCGGAAGGAGTAATCTCAGAAGATGTATTAAAATGGATTTTATCGGGACAATAACATCTACAGATGCAAAGGTCGTATTCCTAATAATGCAATATTTTTTCCTAGAAAGACCGAACTCATTATCTTACATCTTCACACAACTCATGGTCACTGTGGTACCACATACACACTGGCACTACTACGGCAAGAGTATTTGATTTCGAAGGGTAGACGGACTGTAAGAAGTGCAATAAAGAGAAATTGCACGAGCTGCAGGAGAGAACTGGATTGCTAAGCCATTTAAACTACCCAATAAGCCCAATTTGCCAGTTTACAAAATTCAGCAACAACGACCCTTTAAATCAATCGGGTTAGATCTTTTTGGACCTTTTAATGTTCAGAAAGAAACCACGACAAGAAGTGGATAGTCCTTATCACTTGCTTGATAACTCGAGCTATTTAGAAATAGTCTGGGATTTATCAGCAGCTGCCTTCATCCACATATTTCGTAGGTTCTCGACTAGGTGGGGTCCACCAATGAAGATTTTGTCAGGTACGAATTTCGAATCAGCAGCTAAAGTACTCAGCACCCAACCGGTGGAAGGAAGCGTAGATTAGAAATCTCTAACGCCACATGCACTCTGGCAAGGAGGAGTTTATGAACGAACGATTGGTATAACGAAAACGGCAATGAGGAAAACAGTGGGCAGAAAATTGCTGCATTAAAAAGAATTGAGAATGCTTTTAGTGAAAGTGGAGAACATTGTTAACTTGAGACCATTAATATATGCCATGAAGGAACCCTGCGAAATTATTTGTCCTATTGATTAGATTCGTCCAGGAATTCCGGGAATAAAAAACCACTTACTACTGAATAAGGATGAGGATGAAAACTATGGCAGACTGGAAAGTTGTAGTAGAGATGCAGCAATAAAAAAGGATGGAAAGAATCTGAAAAATTATTTCAAAAATTTTGGGAAGTGTGGCAGGCCGCATATCAACCTAATTACCATCTCTTGACATTCGTGCTTTGGAGCTTTTTCAGACAGTTAAATAGTTCTTTCGGATACCCAAATAGTACACTTCTTACTAGTATGCTGTAGCGTGAAAGTGGCTGATTTTCAGAAACATTCCTTTAGTTTAGATTAGTATTCATCTACCGTTATAGAGATATCACTGGTATTTATTTCATTGAGTTTCAATATTTCGGTTTGAAATGCGCTCATTGCCCCCAAACTTTTTAATTTGAGATACTTGAAGGATCTTGGGGGATGCGAGTTTCTTGGCTCGAACCATAACATGATCGAATCCATGAAAATTGCCCGCTTCAGCGCCGCGATAGAAACGACTAGCAAGTACAGAACTCTTCCAATGGCTACTGATTAAGATATAATCAAACTGATATTATTTTTCCTCAAGCTTAGTTATTCTTTTGTCCCATTATTTAGGTATTCGCGTGTAATTTTATCAAAATAGATTAGGTGAAAATTGTCTAATTCACTCTTGTGATTATGGTATTGTGTTATGGTATTAAAGCACTGCGCTTTTCCTTAACAACGCTTCGAACTCTCTCGCACTGCTTTAATTCAATCCTAAAGTCCCAATTACCCTACCTTAAAGGCCTCTTCCTGGTTCGAGTTTTTGCATCTGCAATACTTTTTAGAAAAGCTCAGATTTGCAAGGAACTCAGCTGCACTTCTATCCAAATTTTATTCTCTGAGAAAATTTATCTCATTTTCGCAAATAACTGATGAAGAGGAAGAAGCCCTATGGAGAAATTCTGTGCCTGTTCAATAAGACCTAGGGCTGTAAATGGTCTTACAGCTGTTTTTCTTATATTTCTTGATATGATATGCGTAATAAAAGCTAGAAAATATGAATAGTAATTATACCGACATTGGAGTGATAGCATCATGTAATATTAATTGGAATTTTCGAAATGAATTTTGCATAATTTTTCAGATATTGTTAACAACTAGTAGTTAATGCATACTCGAAAATATTCTCCAGCAAGTGGAATCTTGCGATGAAATGCTAAAAATACAATAGAAGAAGGTTACATTGGACGATTCAAAATGTCGCGAATTTCGTTCTTTTTGGTGACATATGGATCTGCTTAGGAAAACTAAACTCCACTAGCTAATTAATACGGCTAGAATTCTTTAGCATGATGTAGATGTAGAAATATATTTGGTCACCAGCTACTTTTTTAATGCCTCTTTTTTCTACTCATTTTTAAACAACTTAAGTTAATCAATCTGTTTCAGTTCAATTTTCTAGTCCCCCTATTTTCCTTCACATAAAACCCAAATTCATTCAAAATATTTCATTAACGAATAACATTTTATATTTTTTTAAAATTACACTTGATATCCATTTTTTTATTTAAACATGAATTATAATAATAGATAATTTTATGATTAATTTTATGCTTATGAAAGAGGTTGTTTTGAAATTTTTTCAAGCCAAAAACTTTTTACAGACAATATTTATCTGATGAACCCAAAGTCTGTCGCAGCCTGCATCGTCCCATTGACCATTGTGACCAATAAAATTCACGAGTGTGCAAAAAGCAGCTGCTCTAGGACAACATTGATCTGGCTGAGTTCTGCGATAATTCGTGTAGTTCACCACTGTACTATCATCCCATCTTTGACTTCCATCATTATGAAATCCAATCCAGTAAGTGGTGCCACCAGCAATACCTAGAGTTTGTTAATGAGAATTACTATAACTTTTTGAAATATTTCACCAGGTTTTGATAAAAAAGAATGTGAAATTACTGTTTATGAAGTACATTTCTTCAGATGAATGAACTGAAGCAAGATGTCCACCTAGAGAAATGCAATGTTCGTTTCCTCTCTGGTAATCGTATGAACCATATCTCTAAATTCCTTATTTCTTTGATGAAACAATAAAAAAATAGCGTAATAAGTAATTGGCAAAGAACTATGAAAAACTTACAACAATATAGCATGCATTCAATTTATCATTTTTTGTCCATTCAGCAGAACATGTAATTGGAGAAGAAGTAGATGGAATATAGCGATTAAGGAAAATGTCTAGAATCTTCTCAATTAATCTGGCTACAAATTGAAGATAAATATTTTCTTTTTTCTATTGTTGCAATGACTTACCAAGAGGTGCCAATGGATCCAATTCACATTTACGTTCTACACAAACATGGTGAGACAAACAGTATCCACCAGGACAATCTGAAAAAAATTTTATGGTTACATAAAGTAAAAATCATATGAAATAAGTTCTTAACTGTATCAAAAAATATTATCCGATTAACTTGCCAATTAAATCCAGTTTACATTCACTGTTGTAACAGATTTCAAAAACACGACATTGTTCAGAAAAGATGCAAGCTGAAATTGGATTAATGAAATTTCTTTTTCTTTTTTTACCAGTTCTCATCATTATTAGTTAGGCTGGCTCCACTGGCTAAAAACTTTCAAAGTGCGCGACCTGGTGCCATTGTCGACAGCATTAGAAGCTATTCTTTTTTCCATCGTTTAGGTCCATATATTGCTGATCACCTATACGCTCAAAATCTTTATATCAGGTCTTGATTGAACCTCACTGCCATCTATCACAGGGTTTGACCAGTAGCGAAATATGTATCAACTCTTGTGGAGGGCGATGAAGAACGGATCCCAACCAGCGAAGATAACGCTCTGTAATGTTGATGTTAATGCAAATGGCATGTGAGCGAAGGCTGATGCATTAGTGTGAGATTTTATCTACTTGACAAACCCATAAAATGTATTACGTAAGTGGTCATAGGCATATTATTTCTTAATATCACCACTCTCATCGGCCACGTCTTGCAATCATATAGCAAAATCAAGAGAATTACATCAGTATAAAAGCAGACTTTCGTTTTTATGGTGATTTCGCGACGGTTCCATAAAAATTTCGCGGACTGGAAGATTGCATTTCTAGCTATCGTTATCTGGGTAATTTTGATTTCATTTATTTGCTTAACCTTTTGGGATTAGAGTGGATCAAAGATAATTGAAACCCGCACTTTCTCAAGCGACAGTTTATAAAAATAGGTATCTTACCAGGTATCTTTGTATTAATAGGTATCTTTGTATATAAGACGAAAAGACGAAAAGGCTTTCGTTTTATTTACATTGATCTTGAGTCCGATTATGGTTGCGGTTTTTGATACATTATTTATTTGCATTTAACATTATTTGCATTTCCTTATAACTATTAGCAAAAAGGAATACATCAGCTTATTCAAGATATATGGTACGATGCTCTGGACTGATTTGTACGCCTCTTGATTGTTCATTACGCAGTCTATCGCATAGCTGAATATTGAGAAGACACAGCCTTGATGGACACGAGTTTTTGTTTCGAAGGAGTCTGTCAATTCCCCATATACACCTATACCATGGTATGCTGATAAAATGCCTTTATGAGCCGCATGATCATCTCTGGGACACGGTCACATTCCATCAAATTTGCTATCTCGCATTGCTATGAGTCTATTTAGCAGAAAAGATGCGGTTTTTTTTCCGGAGATAGGCTGATTCCTCGGTAACTGTCGCAGTACGTCCTGCCATCGTTCTTAGGAATTGAAAGCAGAATTGCTTTGTCTTTCTGGTATTATTTCCTTTTGACATACCAAAAAATATATTTGTTGAAGGCGAGTTACGAACGATGATGGACAATATTTGAAGAATTCGGCCTGAAGACCATCTTCTCAAGCGATGTCCATTATCCTAGTCTATCCCATAGTGGTTTGCAACTGCAAACATATGGTCCAACGAGCGAATTAGCTATCGCCTAGACGATAGATGGCCCATCTTGGCTAAGTTTAGCCTCAAAAAATTTCTTCCACCTTATGAGATAATCCTTAATACTCTTACTCCATTGCTACCCCTTATCATTTCATTAATCGTTCCCGAGTTATAATTGCTTTGTGAAGATGAAGAACAGAATAGTATCCTATTATTACCTAATTGAGCCGCCGTCTCCATTCTCAAGGCCATATCGCTCCAATAGTTAGCATTCGTGTTTTTGGTAGCTTTTTCAGTTAAATAGTTGTTTAAATAGTTGTTTCCAATACTCAACTAGTGCTTCCTCCAATACTTCCTAGTAGCATAATTCTAGAGTGGAAGTGGCTGACTTTCTGAGATATTCCTTTAATTAGGACCAGTATTCATCGTTCCAGAGATGTCATTGGTATTTATTTCACTGAGTTGTTTCAATAATTCGTTTTGAAATGCGGTCACTGTCCTCAGATTTTTTAGTTTGAGATAGTTGAAGGATCTTGGGGGATGCTTTTTATTGCGAGTTGTCAGTTTTATGCGGGTTTTGGCTCGGATCATAATATGGCTAAATCCATGAAGATTGCTCGTTTCAACGCTGCGATATCAAGGTTGACTAGGAGTTCCACTTGATTAGATGTCTTTTACGATGCCGAAATATATATTGGTAATAAAAAGCAAAAGAAGGCAGAAGCAAAACGTTTTAGCAAAACGAAGAAGGCGTTCTCCACTGGCACACACTCTGATGCCATATCTACCAATTGTCGAGTTCATCGGCGGTATCATGATCTACAGTCTGCTTCGATTATAACTATGTCATGCTTCGATAGAGATTTTGTTAGCAATTGAAATTCTACATAGGACTTATTTTATTATAGTCATCTACTGATAGAGTTGAAGCATAGACATTGATGGCTGAGATGTTGCGGAATCTACCTTTAAAACGGGCATAGGCCATACGGTCGCTTAAAGATTTCCACACAGTCAAAGCGGAGTCTTTTCAGACATGATAATCGCTATACCGTGAGTTATCCAAGACATCACAGTGGTATTAGCCAGTATCTCAGTTCTAAATCAGGTTAATAATTAGTCGAGATCCGAAGTGAGGAACATCTCCGACAAGAAGGCGATATTTAGAAAAGGTGTGGGCAGTGATCGCTTGGCTTGCAACGCCCATAAGCTGACGTTCCACTGTGTTACGGCACCTCACCGCGCGCAACCTTAATGAAGTACTACAAAAATGAATGATTTAATAATTTTTGGCGTATTTTGGAGATTAAACTAAGATTTTCAACTCAACTTAGCAATGGTTCCATCTATAGTTTACACATCTATAGTTTCGATAAGAGTAGAATTGTTTTTAAATAAGTTCTTAACTTACGTCCCTATTCCTCACTATATTAATATTTGATGAAAGCATATGATATGAACTCTTAAAGAAAGAGAAATTTACGTACGAAGATATGGTCGATATGAATAATAGGCTTCCGCGGGAAAAACGATGTTTGCAATGAAAAAAATTAGGAGGGACATTAATATCAATCGTCAAGTAATCCACTATATCCTTGATGAATATATGAGGCATTTATTTGCATTGCTATTGCTTTGTCAGCTGATTTATGAAAAATTTTTAGAGCTATCATTTTGTTATTTGTCATATAAAAAATAATTGACATGGGTGGCATTATACTCCCATTCGTTGCTTGTTATTTAATATAATTTAATGAAAAAAAATTCCCCATTTCTCCACAAAGAATAACTAAATCGTCATGAGAGTTATGGGCGACGCTTTTGCAGAATTTCCGTTCATTAGAAAAAATTCCATAATGCACTATAAATTCCATCTTAATTTTTACCTCAAAAAAAGTTTTCTTTGAAATCAGCAAAAAATTAAATTTTTTAAATTTTCTTTCAGAAGCAAACTCAATGAAATCAGTTTTGGCAAAAATTTTTATTGAAGAGTGAAAGGAATTAATGTAGTCGCTTATCTCTTTCGATTATTTTCTCCAGAAGCAAATCTTGGAACAACTATTTGCTTATTGTCATTGAGTCTTATAATGATAGAAATAAGGGTGGTCAACACCATTCGGATTTTTTAAAGACAAGCATATTCTTTTTGGTTATGCAATTTTCAAATGGTAATGACTTATGTGATTAGCGAGTAGAATCATTTAAATTCTATAAAACTTAAGCACTGATTTGATTTTCCACGGATCTTGCAGCAATTCTTGAAAAATCCTTCAAAATTCTCAAAACTTTTATCTTTCTATAACTATTTTGGCATCTGGATGAACAATATCTTAATTTTCATTTTTTTTCCAGTATATTCCAGTTCCGGTAGTTCCAGTATATGGGTTATATGATGATGAAATTTGCTTCTGGCGATCGAAAGAGATAAGCGATTTATCTGTAAAAAAACTTCTTGAAAATCTTATGATTTAGATGGAATAATCTGGGAAACAAAGTTTTATTGGAAGCGAAAATATTGATGAAAAGTATTATTTTTATTTTTATTATTTTTATTATAAGCGAAAATATTAATTTTTTAAGTTGATTTTGTAAAATGCAGTAATACTAAAATAATTTTCAATACTAAAATGAAAAAATACTTTTCCGCTTCCGAAATTAAATGGTAGATAAAAATTAAAGAGAGAATGATAATTGGTTATCAAATTAAAACTTTAAAAAAAGATTTCATGTGGCACTCGCCATCACTGAAACTGCAGATGCTAGCAATCACTGCAATTTACTGAAACCATCGAAAAATTTCAAAGCAAATAACGAGTGTCGAGTGTGTAAAGTTTATTTGCTTCATCGTCTCTTTACTTTGAATCATAAGCAAATTTCTGAATGAACTTTTGGAAACTTTTCAAATTCTTTATTCTTTTCTCCAATTCAGTTCCTCCATTCCTCCGTTTCGTGGCCTTATAGTAGCGTAATTTAATGATTGCATATTTCATTTTTTTATAAATATTTTTGATGGATGGTTATTAGTTTTTTTCTCAAAATTTTCTATGAACTTTTCTATTTTCTAGTTTAAAAAAATTTGTAACTTTTTATTTAAACTATCGATCAAATTACATAATTTTGTTAAAAATTTCATAGAAGATAATAATATTAAGCAAATACTTGGTTAACTCTTTGGAAAAAATTTTTTTAGTCCGACAAGTTATAATCGAGCTGAGTCTAACCAGAAATGATGACCTCTTGCTTTTACTTAAACACATGGTTGACACTCATAATTTTTATTTAATCTATCGTGGTTCTTAAAAGGATGAGATTATTTTCTCAGAGAATCAAATGCGGATAAAGGTATAGCTGCACCATCTGAACTATTCTAATAATAAGTTTATTACTACAGATGTACGATGTCGAACTGGCAAGAAATATTTAAGAAAAAGCTACCGGATTAAAGCGCTACGAGAGGGCTCGAAACGGACTATGGAAATACAGTGGTCTAATGCTACATAATTTCAAATAAATCACAGTTAATAACAATTAATTTATAATTAATTTAAGTCTAAATCTTAGCCAAATGGAACAATGATATATATTTTATTAATGTAATAATGATGGTAATATTACAATAACCGGGGATTATAATGAAATACCCTCACATATGAAGAATACTATATAAGTATGCTCAAGCCATGATTTAAAAAAACCAACAGAAACGCTGAATAACCTTACTAAAATAAGATTTCGACAACTGCTTTATATTAATCGTTACATGCAATGCTTCCATAATCACAAGGCTGAATTAAAGAATTAAAGAATTTCTAAATTAAAATGAAAAGTTAAAAAAAAATCTATTTTGACAAAGTTAACATGTAAATTGGTAATGATAAGGAATAATTGGGTCTTGAAACAGATAAAAATATCAATGATTTGCTAGTTTCAATTTAAAGGAATTATGGTTGCAAAATTCTCAATTAAAAGAAATAGCTGTAACCATTCGATTTCGACAAAAATTCAATGTGATCATTTTATTCTGGTTCAGAGAGTT